AGTTTCGACTTTTTTTAGCACCACCGCCAATAAAATCTTCAATTCATCGTCAATCGTTGCTTCGTTTTCGACACCTCCCGCACAATCGTGTTCCTTGTGTCATTTCAAGCTCGTCGGTGTCCTCCTCGTCTCCGTCTACGGTGGCGTGTGAGGGAGGTAAAGCGGTCAAAGTTTCTGATGTGTTAAAATCGAGCTCTCCACCGTTTAAAATTGTGAACTGAGCTTTATAAGTGCCTGAAAATTGCTTAAAATAATTTTAGGAAATTTTTTCGTATTTTTAGAACACTGGAGCACGCCGCACGCGCCCCCATGCGTCGCCCCTGTGCGTGGGGGAGCTTCGAAATGGCATTAGAGCAGTTTGGTCGGTTTGACCGGTCTGAACCGGTTTGACCGGTCCGACCCGTTGACCGTTGATCGCGTTGACCGTTGACCGGCATTGATTGTCGTTTACCACCTTTGACCAGAACTTTGACCGGTGTTGACCGGCCATTAAACAGCCGTTAACGTTTTTCAGGTATACCTATTTTGACATTTTTAACGTCTTAAATCTGTTTTTGGGGTCTGTTTTGCCAAATTCGAACCCGAAAGCCTCCAAATCATCAGTCAAACCCATTGACTTTGACTTTGACCAAAAAGTCAAACTTTCGAAAAGTCATATTTTATGTTTTTCGATGTCTTGTGTCTGATTCTGAAGTCCGTTTTGCCAAATTATGACTTGAAATCCCCAAATCGAGCTCATTAACCCAAAAATGCTTAGTATTTTAGCATTTTTGATTATTTATTTGATATTTGGTTATGGAATTAATCCAATAAGATATTTTATAAAGGTACTCGTGTTTCACCTCAGCGAGGATCAGCTAGGTCCGGAGTTGTTCGTTTGTCAAATCAGTCCGAACCGCGTACGACGAGAATTACCCATAGGTTTCCGTAAATTATTTAAATAAAGATTAAGATTATTCATATTAGGATTCAAATATGAATTTTTCCGATTCGTAGGATCTAGCACTGCAGCAGAGCGTGATCGATAGACCCAATAGTAGGCTTCCCTATCCGATTACTCAGACTGTTACAGGTGTGTTTCCTGACGGTGTTTCCTGACGGTGTTATCTTACTGTTTTAAACTATTATATGAATTGTTTCAAATTGGTGATAATTTTGAATATTGTTACGACATGATACCTGATTTCTGAATACTGGTTACCCGACATCTGATTTACCGGATATTACTTATTTGAAAATTGTTTTCCGTAATTTTTGTATATGATTTTTCAAGCATGAAACATTTTCATGTTTTAATGGATTAATATCCATTTTCACTCGAATACATACATGTTTATTACTATCATTGGGGGAATAATGTTGGAGGAATATACCTGGAGGCTCCTCGGCTTTGTGCTCAAGGCCCTACTGGACTTGACGGTGGGTGTATGGTTCTGGGGAACCTACACATTTTGGACTTGACGGATGGGGGTAGTGTTCATGTTTAAAAAAAACATGTTTGATAAACCGATTTTTAACTGGAATATTTTATTAATATGTTTTATTATAATGTATGGAACACACTGGGCTTTTTAGCTCATTTTGAAATTTTTACCCTTTTCAGATAACAGCAGACTGTAATCTAGCAGATTTGGCATAAGAGGATATCAACTACTTTTACTTTTGTATGAACAAATACCTCTACATGTTTTTCAGTTGTATTTGGTGACATGTATTTTGCTATCGTTTTGGATATAATCGTATTATCGATATTTTAATCCGTATTATCTCTAATGTTTTATAAGTTATTTTAAATATAAAAAGAATCTTTGAATGGAATATGTGACTGCTTAGGTTTGGGTCTAACGTTCAGGCCGGGTCTAGGGGTTACAGATAAAATGACCGACGCTAAACTAAGCTTTATAACCTGATAAGGTGTGGATTTTTCTTTCCTCAAACAAGCGAAATAGCAAAAGACTGGTGGAATTTTTGTTTTACCTGTTGAATCTTCAAGCCAATGATGTGAGGCATCGACCATTTCAATTCACAGTTCAAGTACCATAGCCACAAAAGGGAAGGCCAAAAATTCCCATGTTCTTTCTCTAGAATGACAGGGTAATTAAGGACGTTTGGCACATGTCATCTATGCTCCTTCCCAACCATCATCTATGGTCCATTCAATCATATAAGAAGACTGTTTTTCCATATCAATTTATTTACTAATGAATTTCCTGTTTTGTCCATTCAGTGTTTGTCTCCCCGCTTTACACCATCTTCCACCATGTCATAGTGCTTGCGGCCATCTACGGTGGCTGCTGCTATTTCCGGTTCAATGCCAAAATATATTTAATATACTTTTTGATACTTGAATTTTGAAGGTTTAAATTAATGCTTATATTTTATTATTTAAATTAATATTTGGGTTTTCTTGTTGTACATGCAATTATAAACCAAATTGTTTATTGCAGAGAAGCAATGTAATAGCCAAACTAAGAATCCTTTATAATTCATAATACAGTAAGACGTAAAAACAAATACAAATTTGGTAGCAGAAGTGTGCAAGAAAGGCCTTATCAACCAAAAGAAAAGAACAGATACTACAAGAGCGATTGAGAAAGGAAATTTCAGGTAGCAGTGATGGTAAATGGGAATGGATTTGGAGGAATATTCACTTGGACAGCTCCTTCTGTGTAACCTTTCTCATGGTGGATCTCTGATATGGGTCCTCTTGAATGCACCAAAAGGCAGTCATCAGCAACCTCTCCAAGCTCTCTCCATTATTAATGGCCTCCTTGTCGTCTCCAATCAAGGCCTCTATTGCTCCTTCATTAAAGCAGTCATAAGCCCAATATGTTAATATCAAGTCATCTCCATCTGTACTTGCATTCTCCTCATCAACAACACTTCTACAGCAACAAATGATCTCTAGTAGTAAGACACCGAAGCTATAGACATCGACCTTTGCGGTTACCGGCAAGTTCCTGAACCATTCAGGGGCCACATACCCTTTTGTCATTCTGATGGTGGTTTTAGTATGAGTTTGATCCATCATCAAAAGCTTGGACAACCCGAAATCTGATATCCGAGCATTGTAGCAGTCGTCGAGGAGTATGTTTTGAGGCTTTATATCTCGCAATGGATGATCTGTGTGCTGCATTCTTCATGTAGGTAAAGAAGCCCTCTGGCAGTTGCTATGGCAATTTGGGTCCTTTGATTCATACTCGGCTAAGTGTTTCGGAACAGGTAATCGGCTAAAGTGCCATTGCTTAAGAACTCATGCACCAGGAAACGCTGCTCTCCTTCGCAAATTCCTAGTAACTTAACCAGGTTCTTATGATGTGTCTGCCCGATTACATTGATCTCAGTTTTGAATTCTTTGTCCCTATCTCCTTCCCGAACCACTCTATCTAATTTCTTCACTGCAACGCTACTTGTCCCTATTGTTTCTTTGTAAACAATGCCAATGGCCCCTCTTCCGAGCTGTTCCTTGAAACCATTTGTAGCTTCTGCAAGTTCTTTGTAGGTGAAAACCTTCAACTCTCCAGTCAAGCTTGATTAGTTTTCGATAACTTTTTCTGGTAAATGGAGAAAAACCCAAGGCAAAATGCTGCAACCAAGAGGTACCCAAGAGTATCGATCCAGTGATCATCAAAGTGCCTTGCTTCTTTTCTTCAACAAGATCTGGAATATCAGGGACTGGTGGAGGAGTAGGGTCGACTTTGGTAACTTTAATGAATGCCTTGTCATTAACGCCACTGTCTGCTCTTCCATTCGAAAGCGGCAGCTTCTTTTTCCAGCAGCTATCTCCTCTGAAAATGGCAACGGCACACATACAATCATGCAAACAAGATGTTTGGCAGTCTTGTTTGCAGTTTCCGTACTTATCATCTTGATCGAGTAAAGAGAATCCCGGTGGACATTTACAAGTTGGCCTGCCATTGTCGTTTAAGAATATTATTATAAATATCAAAACAATGGATCGTCTTTAAGAATAAAGAATAAAGAAAGAAGCATATATGATATGTGATACAAGAGAGGGAGAAGAAACAATTCAAGTCAAGGAAAGAAAAGTAGTCCACATTAAGACTGGTGGTGACGATTCCTTGCAATTTCCATGGAGTCATTAATCCACCACCACTTCTATATTTCCACCCCTAAGCTTTCCCCCTTTAAGCGGGCAAGTTTCCATGTCATGACAAAAATGATGGGCTGTCTGATTTGATTTTACAAACGGACATGAATGTTCAAATTTCCTTTTTTTTTTAATTATTTTGGCAAAAAGGCTAGTTTTTTTTTAAGAAAACTTATATTTTTATTCTATCAATAAATCTAAACATATTTTTGAATATGTTCGGAAAAAATATAAAAAAGAAAAATCTTTAATTACGAACCTGTCTTTAAAATTTTACTTAAGCTGTAATTATTATATTAAATCTGTCTTTAAATTTTACAAATTTAACATATATTCAAATATTATAACTTAAATTTTTTATTTAAATTGTAATTGTTATATTAAATAGTATTTAAAAAATCAAGTTCAATTAATTTTCTAAATAAAATTGGAACTTAATAAAATTGGCCTGTTCCAACTTAACATTTTGAAGAGTAGTTTTCCCCCCTCAAAAAGTGAACTATTTTTTTTTCTTCAAGATGATCTATCTTTGTGTGTTTTGTTTAAATGAATATGTTCCTAATCCACCCAGAAAAACTGGAAAAAAAACAGATTTTTTCTAAGACAATTTCACCCCCAAAAATACAAAATCAACATAGACAACATACAATTATAACAATCCTTCCATAAACAAGACAAAAATTAATCAAAGTCATGGTTTGAATTTAGCATTTAATCAAATATCTGTAGTTTTTGAAGCTTTTGTTTGAGGTTAGCATTTATGCAAGTATCTGTAGTTTTTGAAGCCTAATTTAACCAAATTATAACATTGGCTATTATATATCACTCACTGAATGATTCTTCACTGTCGGAGATAGGCATGCAGCTTCGGATGTCAGCGTATATGCTTTTTAAACTCCTCATCTTAACTTTGTTCTCAGTGGAGTGGCTAGATGAGTAGCCTTCCTCATCCTCATACTCATCCTCGGCCTCGTATCTGACCTCCATCAACGACCTCACTTTAGTCCTTTCCTTCCGACCGTTGATCATCATTGCAGTTTCAGCTTTCCGATATTTGCTATTTCCTGGAAACATCTCCTTTGCATCACCTAAGTAACAAATTTCAGATAGACAATCCATGAATGTAAGAAGAGGAATGAAACAATAGTAGCTAAGAGAACCTATTATCATTACATTAAACAAGACTTTCAAAATGACATGCTTTGTGCAATGATTTTCAGTAGCTTTCTTGTTTGAATGTATGTATCAGTTGAATGGTAAAACAAAAAATGTAGAATATGCATGTAACTATAGTTTAGTAAATCAATGAGAAAGCTCACATATGCAGAAGGACTCGCAGGAAAACGAGAATACTTAACATGACAGAATGTCACATGATGTGTAACAAAACTAACATCCATAACCAAGGCAACTTTGACATGCAGTTCATACGTTGCAAATCTACGTCTGTGGTGGCACCTTAATATCTTTCTTTTTGTTCACGTGTAGATTACAGAACTTCAAGCAGTAATTCTGTGCATGGATAAGGAAATGAATGCACTCTACACCCAAACCGAATCTAAAACAAACCTCTAAGGATAAAACACGTGCAAAATCTAAATTTTCCAATTCTACATCTCACAGATGTAAAAGCATGCACTCTTCACATGCAATTCATACTTTGCAAATCTACATCTATGCTAGTTTGACTACACCAATACTGTAATTGTTTTTTACATTCACATGCAGATTAGGAAACTTTAAGCAGTAGTTCTGTGCTTGAATGAGGAAATGTATGAACTCTACTCCAAAATCATATGTATATACATATGCATCCACACATATATGTATAAAAAATTTCAAGATTCCTGAAAATCTCTTACATTAGCAACCTGTTATGATTTAGGATAGGATGATAGAAGAATTTTTAGGAATTTAAGAAAATAGAGAGAATAGGTTACAGAAAAAGTTCATTTCATTCATAAGATAATCCCTAAAGGGTTTTGGTACAATTATATATAAGCAGGTACCACCAGCTGTCAGTACAGCAAATCTAACAAATTTACTACCTCCGATGCTGACTCACCCAATCCATCCCTCTGTTTGGATTCGTACAGACCCAACCCACACTTATAAGCCTCCTGATTTCTTAATTGGGTATTATTAAACTTGAGCCCAATTACCCCATTGACCCATACCCATTACCGTGAAACCCATCTCTCGTTATGACTTCAGCCCCTCTCCCTTCAGGTAACAATTCAATCCCTAATCCCCCTTCGATCCCTAATTCCTTTATCTCCTCTCCTAATTTCTGTTGTTGTCTCCCCAATTTCCTTCTTCGGGATTTCCCCAAATTAAGACCTTCAAACCCTAACTCCTCTTCTATCGTGACAATACCCCCTCCATCAGACGATCCTTGTCCCCAAGGATCGAAATCGGGAAATTGGTTCTGTAACACCGAATCATCTTCCCAAGTTGCATCATTTGGCCCCATGTTCATCCACTGAATCAACAGTTGAGGAACGTTTTGATTCTGTCGTTTCACCACTCGTCGGTTCAACACAGTTGCTGGGAGATTTTCAATTGACCATCTGAAGACGGTTCTGGAGGATTCAGCGAGATAAGTCCTTGTTTCTCGGTTCTCTTCTTCAATAAGCTAACATGAAACATTGGATGTAATTTAGAATCCCGTGGCAATTCCAGTTGATACGCAACCTGACCAATTTTTTTCTGTATTTTGTAGGGACCGAAATATCGAGCAGCAAGCTTTAGGTTTCTCCTTAAAGCGAGTGATGTCTGTCTATAAGGCTGAAGTTTCAGGTAAACTTCCTCTCCAACCTGAAAATCCCTTTATGTACGATGCTTATCCACAATCTGCTTCATTCTATTACTGGCTTTAATGAGTTGTTCACGTAGTAAAGCATTAAATTGATCTCTGTCTTACATCATAGTTTGTACTGCATCCACTCTAGAGTCCCCTGACCAACTCAGAATAGGTGCCTTATAACCCTATAAGGCTTTGAATGGGGTCATTTTTATAGCGGAGTGGTAATTAGTGTTATACCACCACTCTGCTTGGGCTAACCACTTTGACCAAGATGTAGGTTTTAAAAAACACATACATCTGAGATACTGTTCTAAACACTGGTTAAGTCTCTCAGTTTACCCATCTGTCTCTGGATGATAGGCAGTATTGAAAAGTGTAGTTGTCCCCAATTGTTTAAGTAGTTCTTGCCATAATAAACTAGTAAAAGACTTGCCTAGATCAGAAATAGCTACCTTAGGAGGACCATGAAGCTTATAAACCTGATCCAGATATACCTTAGCAACTTGCACCACTGTGTAGGGATGTGACAGTGGCATAAAATGAGCTTACTTAGTAAATTTGTCAATTACTACCAAAATACAATTGTACTTTGTTGAAGGTGGCAGTCCTTCAATAAAGTTCATTGTTATAACTTCCCAAGCATTGTTTGGAACTGGAATAGGTTGTAGTAAACCTGGCTTGGAAATGTGCTCAATTTTAGTTCTTTGACAGACCTCACATTGTTTTAGATATTCCTGAATCATAAGCTTCATCTTTGGCCAAAAAATATAAGCTTTAATCCTTTGATAAGTAGCTTGAATACCTGAATGACCCCCTTGTGGTGAATCATGTGAAGCCATCATAATTTTCTGTCTGAGATCTCCTTTGCTGCCCACATAAATTCTGTCTTTAAAGTATAAAACTCCTTTAATTCTCTTCCAATCCTCAATCTTGTCAGGTTGAATAAGTAAAATAGGAATTTTCTCTTGAGCCAGTAGATCCCCTTCGTAACTCTGCTCAATATCCTGTCTCCAAGTAGAAATTATAACAGTAACCCCCATTTGCAAAAAACTCACCAGAATTCATTAGCTGTCTAGAAAGTGCATCTGCCACCTTATTTGTTTTGACTTTCCTGTACTGAATTGTATAATCCAACCCAAGTAACTTAGTCAGCCCCTTCTTTTGTATAGTAGTAGTCAATTTTTGCTCTAATAGGTGTTTTAGAGGCTCATGATCTGTTTTAATCACAAATGAGTCACTTTCCAAATAATGCCTCCAGTGTGACACTGCCATTAGGATGGCCAAGTATTCTTTTTCATAGATAGAAAGGTATGCATGCTTTGGCCCCAAAGCCTTACTTAAATAAGCTATAGGCCTTTGTTGAACTATGTTTCGATATAACAATTTAAGGCAAAATGGTTTTTGGACTTGAATTGAATTTACAAAATGTATTTGGACTTAATTGAATTTATTCAAAATTTACAAAAATAATTCAAAGTTCTTTTAATTTAAAATTGAGCACAAAAATGTTTTTATGAATAGTAATTTACTATTTGAACAGTAAATTACTATTTGAACAGTAAATCACTGTTTGAACAGTATCCCGAGGCTCAAAAATTCCAATATGTAAAAGGGGAACCGATTCCCCCTAAGGGGGTACCGATTCCCTCACTGTTCATCAGCCCAACAGTCATAATATTTGAATATTATGAAGGGGTATCAATTCCCTATGAAGGGGTACCGATTCCCCCAATTCTGGGCAGCCTATTTTTGTAGAAAAATCATTCCCAAACAGCTCCAAAATATCCCCAACGGCTAAATATGACTTCAAACACATTCCAAGCTATAAATACAAGCTAAAGACACTTGAAGAAGTAAGAGAACAACTATCCAAGCAATCAAACACAAGAAAAGAGTTTTTCATTCTTATTTCATCTTTCTCTTGTAAATATTTTGTTCTTGTGAGCTCAATCTTGTAAACACCTACCTTAGAGAAGTTTTCTTGTTTACATCTTTTATCATATTTTAAAGGGGAAAGGTTCTAGCTAATCCCGTGTAAAAGCTAGGGAAAGGTTCTAGTTTAGCCCGGAAAAACTAGTGAGTTTGTAAGGTTACTCTTTATCCTCAAAAGAAAGAACAAATTAGTGAATTTGTTGGAAAATCCTTGGTAAGGAGCTAAGGTAGTGGACGTAAACTTTGATTGAGAAAGTCGAACTACTATAAATCGCTGTGCAATTCTCTATCTTTCAATCTCCTTACTCCCTAAACACAAAACCGTTCTGACCCCTCTTTGCAAATCGTTCCGGTTGTCGTTTCGAGCTTCCGAAAATCCTAACAGCCTTCCTGCTTGAGATAAAATAGCCCCAATACCTCTGGAACTAGCACCAGTTTCCAAAAAAAAAATCTGCTCAAAATTTGGTAAGGCCAAAACTGTAGCTTCACACATAACCCTTTTTAGTTTTTCAAAAGCTAATTTAGCTTCTGGATACCAATGAAGTCTTTCCTTCTTCAACATATTGGTCAAGGGTTTACTCAATTCTCCGTACCCTTTGATAAATTTTCTATAATACCCTGTCAAACCCAAAAATCCTCTCAAGGATTTTAGATTTTTAGGTAAAGACCACTGTTACATAGCCTTTATTTTTTCAGGGTCAGTTGCTACTCCCTTAGCTAAAATTAAATGTCCCAAATACTCCACTTGTTGTTGGCCAAAAAAGCATTTACTCTTTTTGGCATACAACCTATTCTTCAGCAAAATTTGCAACACCACTCTTAAATGATTTTTATGCTCTATCATACTAAAACTGTAAATCATAATATCATAAAAAACACAAGAACAAACCTCCTCAAATATGCTCCAAACAAGTCATTCATCAAAGCTTGAAAAGTAGATGGGGCATTAGTAAGGCCAAAAGGCATAACTTTAAACTCATAGTGCCCTTGATGAGTTCTAAAAGCAGTTTTATGAACATCCTCATCTTTAATCCTAATTTGCCAATAACCAGATCTCAAATCAATCTTTGAAAAGAATTTATCCCCATGTAATTCATCCAGTAAGTCTTCTACTATAGGAATAGGAAATTTATTCTTAACTGTATAAGAGTTAAACTGCCTATAGTCCACACAAAACCTCCAAGTTCCATCCTTTTTTCTGATAAGTAAACAAGGAGAAGCAAAAAAACTCTTACTTACTTGTATGATAGATGAGGATAACATATGGGCAATCTGTTTTTCAACTTCAATCTTGTGATGATGAGCAAATCTATAGGATCTTAGATTGACTAGTTGTGTCCCCTGTTTAAGAACAGTGGCATAATCATGTTTTCTGCTAGGAGGCATTCCCTTAGGTTCCTTGAACTCTTCTAATAAATCTTGTAAAGGTAGAGGAATTTTGCTTTCCTCCACTTCAGCATTCAACAAATAGATTTCCCCATTCACTTCATTATCCCTTTCAACTAACTTCTGCAATTTTTCCCCTGAGATGGGTTTGATGATTGGTAATTTCTGAGTTCCTCTAATCAGAACAGTTTGTCCATCCTTTTCAAAACTAATTGTCTTGGCCTTGAAATCCATCATTATAGGACTAAACGCTTCCATCCAGTCTACTCCCAGTATCATATCACTGCCCCCTAAAGACAAAACTCTGAAATCATGCTAAAATTCATAGCCTTGCGTCTTCCAACTCACTTTATTGCTTTTGGCAGTACTGAATAGCCTCTCCCCATTAGCTACTGTAATAACTAATGGTTGAGTCTGAACAAGTTCCACTCCGTCTTTGGCCCACTTAGGTGTCACAAAAGTATGAGTGCTTGCACTATCAATTAGCACATTAAGTGGTTTTCCTCTGATAAAACCTTGAATTCTCAATGTAGTATGCCCTACATTACTTGTAATAGCATTGATAGAAATTTCCAGGGCTTCTTTAGCTACATCATTCCCTTCTCCATTTTCTCCTTCTGTCAATTCTTGGTCAGCAGAATCTTCTTCCTCTTCCATATTGTTCAACTGTCTAACTTTGCATTGATGTTCAGGAGCAAATTTTTCCCCACATTTAAAACACAAATTATTTGCTCTTCTATATTCCAGTAAACTCTGCCTTGTATTTGAATTAGGAAGAGTTATCTTAGGCTCCAAACCTTTAGTCCCACTGTTCTGTTAACCACTTGAAGGAGTACAAGGAAAAAAATGAGAATATTTATACTTCTTTCCTTTCATCTCATTAGCCAACTCATAAAGTTTGGCCTGCCTATAAGCTTCAGACAAATTTCTGGGCTCCAACACTTTCACCTTATGTTTTAATTCCTCCTTGAGACCACTAATGAAGCTGGAAACAAAATAATCCTCCCCTAAATGCATATGATGTTGTAACAAATAGGGTCTTAACTCCTCAAACTTTTCTTGATACTCTTCTACACTACCCTTCTGCATTAACTTATTAAATTCTTCAATGATCTTTGAATAGTTTCTGTCACAAAATCTATGACACAAATCAGCCTCAAATTTATGCCAAGTCACTCTATGCTTCTGCATAATATAACCATCAAACCAGGTCTCAGCCTTCCCCATCAAATACATTGCAGCCACATCCAATTTCTGTTCCTCCGGAACTCCCTAAAGATTAAAATATTTTTGGCATTTTCTAACCCATCCTCTGGGATTACTGCCATCAAACATCTGTAGTTCTAATTTAGGTCGAGGTAAAATAGGCCCTGAACTCCCAAATAAACCCTTATTGTCTACTTTAATCTCACTAGAACTGCCCATAATATTTTCTTCTTGCAATTTTTGATTAAAAGGTAGAGGACCAGTAAACCCCACAGGTTTAGCAGCTAAAATCCCCGGTTCATTAGGTTGAAAAGTATACTTCTCATGCTCACTCAGAACCGTAACTAAGCATGGTTGCTTACCTTCACCTTTGTTTTGCTTTTCAGCTCCTGGTGGTTGACTCCTTGCTGACTGAGGTGATTCTTTTTCCTCAACTGCCTGATTGATCAGCTGTAGGATTCTCTGCAAATAGCCCCTGTTCTCAGTCATTCCTTCCTCCAAGGTTTGTGTCATTCCCTCCAGCTCTGCTTTCTGCTCCACCTACCAAGATGGTAAGGTCTCTTCCTTCACTTCTACTGCTTGTTCTGGTACCTCAATGGTTCCAGTCTTTTGCATCTTTCTTGTCTTTCCCAGCGTGAAAAATGGTTTTGGATCACATAACTCAACTCTGATTACCAATTTGTTATGATTTAGGATAGGATGATAGAAGATTTTTTAGGGATTTAAGAAAATAAAGAGAATAGGTTACAGAAAACGTTCATTTCATTCATAAGATAATCCCTAAAGGGTTTTGGTACAATTATATATAAACAAGTACCACCAGCTGTCAGTACAACAAATCTAACAAATTAACTACCTTCGATGCTGACTCGCCCAATCCATCCCTCTGTTTGGATTCGTACAGACCCAACCCACACTTATAAGCCTCCTGATTTCTTAATTGGGTCTAATTAAACTTGAGCCCAATTACCCCATTGACCCATACCCATTACCATGAAACCCATCTCCCGTTATGACTTCAGCCCCTCTCCTTTCAGGTAACAATTCAATCCCTAATCCCCCTTCGATCCCTAATTCCTTTCTCTCCTCTCCCAATTTTTGTTGTTGTCTCCCCAATTTCCTTCTTCGAGATTTCCCCAAATTAAGACCTTCAAACCCTAGCTCCCCTTCCATCGTGACACAACCATTTCAGAAAATCTTCTGAATGTGTACATGAAAACCAGAAAACCATCTTTATGATGAACAAAAAGGAAAAGCATGCTTTTGAAATGATTTTTGTTTGCTTCAAAATGCAATAATATATATCTTGAAGAGACTTAGGGGGTATAAAATGGTACTGAACATAAATATAGAACCCAAAAACAGTAGGCTATTTTCTGTTTCGGACACTACTTTTAGCAATATCTTCAGTTATTTTTGCAGCCACTCGAAAGGGGAAAGGGAAAAATAAACTAAAACAATTAGTTTTAAGAATCAAAATGAAGATATCTCAGTGTTATTTGATGGTAAAGAGGATCATTATAGCAAAGTTTTCGTGTTATTGATTCCTACGTGTAGTTGCAATTTGTGAGGGTCATTATACGTGTGTGTGTGGAATCCCTGATCAATAACAAGATAAATTAATTACTTTTTTGTAAGAATCGGTTACTATATCCTGAATTGAAGTTATTTTGGACTGCCGTAAACGGAAATATATCACAGCTAAGCATTAGTACCGACTTTCGCCCATTGACGTATAAATGAAGAAGTTAACTGTACTAATGTCTAAGAGGCACAAAAAGAAAACTGAAATTTAAAACCATTTTAAATCTGAGGAAAGATAGCTTACCTTTCCAAGAAGAAGATAAAAACCGTTGTCCCTTTACAATGTAATAATGTCCCAAAGGCGAGAAAGAAAACTCAATTTTATAACTATTTTAAACCTTAGGAAAGGCATACCTTTCCGAGAAGAAGAAATAGTTCTCCTTTTCTGCTTTGATATACCAGTACCAGAGTAATTCATTTCCTAGAACATCAAAATTAAGCTTGTTAATCTAAGATCCAAAGATAAAACTCATGGTCTTTTATATGCTTTGAATGCTAAGCATATGGATAGTTTTATTTAAATTATCAGTTTTAGTTTGGATAGAAAATTTAGTAGGTAGGGAATCACGAGTTTACTTTTGTTTTCCTTCATTTCGACATCCTTGTTTGATGACCTGTAAACAAAATCATACCGACGAAAAATAAGTAAATGATATATTTCTTAATCCTGTTAGTAAACTTAGTGGCATAAGAATACATGGAGAAAATATACTGTTGCATGATTAAAGATAAAGATTAGAACAGGCTGATGATGGAAATTTATGAGACCTGTAAGATCATAGATCAACATTTCATAAAAGATAAACTCCAAGAAAAAAAATCGTGAAGCACAAAAAATGATGATGAGGGACCATAAGGGAAAAGACATGAAATGTATAGAAATAAAAAAAGAAAACCATTGTTTTAGTTGGATTTTCTTGTTCCAACAGGCTCTTGTTCCTTCCATTCCCTGACTGTAGTTCTGTGACAGCTTCTTCATTAAGGACAGGGCCGGTGCTGGAATGTTCCTCTGGCACACAGGGATGGACGGTGCGATGATTAGTAGTATGTGATGAACATCCAAGCCGTTATATCCTTCCAATCACTGAGCACTATATCCCGTGATGCTTCTCTAGCTGTTCTTTCAGCAGGTACTGGAAAAGAGGATACCTCCATCTCTTCTTGCTTAGGTGGAGGTTCTGATGAAGAAGCCACTGAACTTGGTACGACGGGAAATGAGGGAAATCTCTTTCTAATCCTCATATTGGTATTTCAGACAGAAAGGGGAAAAGAAAGTTTGTATTTAAAATAATTATGAGTTCTTGCAATAAAATTTTTTAATTTATAAATGTCACTAAGGCAAGTAAATGTGAGAGAGTTTTTATCTGTCACTCTTCAGCTCTCTTGACATCTGTTAATTGTCTATGATTAGAGAACATTTAATCATATATGATGAGTAAGTGTAGCTATAAAGTCACAGTTCATGCAGTTATCAATTGCAAGTACGTTCTTTTTTCTCTCGGTTCTTACAACGTCATCACATTTTATTTAATTCGAATACCGACACATTACACAATACAAAGGACATCATCTAGTCGTTTATACCTATGAGATGATATTTGAATTGGGGCAAATGTCCGAAATACGTCATCACTAAGTAAGTCCGAGTAAAGAGAGAGAAGAGAGGGGGGCTAAGGCATCAGCTTATGGCCTTCATGACTTGCATGTGTTTCATGACTCCAGGTTCAAAATTCAATTGGGAGTTACAGACGGTAGCATTCAGTTGTAAAAACAATCAATTTTCAAAGTTCAAAATTAGGATACAGTCAATTTTCCGCGTTAATTACCTGTCAAAATGAATTTCTGTTGTTATTTACCTCTATTTGCCAAGTCTAAATATAGAGAAAGTATCTGGCAAGGTGTATATCATTAATGCAATAATAATAATCCATGGTATAAAGAAACTTCATAACTACAGTTACAGGCACAGCAGAAGCTTCCATTCTTGGAACAACAGGATTAGCAGCATGGGCTATGCATTCATATAATAACCTTTTTATTACCAAAACTATTGGACAGCTAGAGTACAATATATATAAAGCTGATAAAATGTTAGGACTGGTTACTATGAATTTTCTTACCAGAAGATCTCCGAGTCAACGATGATGTACGACGTATGAACCACACGAATCATACCAGTCCTGAAATTAATATAGACCTCATTTATCAATGTTTTCATAAAGCAAAGAAAAGCAAAACAAACATTAACATATAATAGAGCCTGTGTTTGTCAAAAGGTTTAATTATTTCCTTATATGTCTCTTTCTTCTTTTCTTTCTTTCCTCTTTCTCCAACTCATTTCTTATAATGTTTAATTATGTATTATCTTGTTTATCTAGCAATTCAGAACCAAATCCATAAACAAATTTTAGCTTTTGCGTTGCACATTGTGGTGCAAGAATCATAAAGAAAACAGGGATTATCCAACAGAGTATCTTGGGATGCATGCCTAACATCCATTCGAGTTTTCCCGGTTCAATCAACAACATCAACCACTATCAAATAAAGGTTATATGAGTTTATTTTCTTTACTTATGCAGAAGCAAATTCAAGATATTATTTTTATCCCAAACATAGACTGCAAATAATGGTCCAGAAAATAGAGCTTATGTGAGTTGATTTTCTTTGCTTATGCAGAAGCAACGGTGTCGGTTGTATAACAAGATCAGAGGATTAAAGTTGCAATTCAAGCAAGATAAGATGCCAAATCCATTGTAATGATTTGAAGGAACAAAAAGAAAGAAAATAAAAAGGCAAGGAAAGGACTTGATCATGAAGAGCTAGACATACATTAAATAATTTAAATGACAACAGAAAAGAATATTTCATATAGAAACGGTGTGGTATATAAAGGATATTAAGGAAATTTACCCATAGTGATTGGTGGGCAGACAAGTTTCATTGCCTTCATCGGCTTCATTACCCTAACGTTAAAAAATTGAAGTGATGGGAGCTCAACTCAGTTGATCGCACTTCATTAATTACTTTCTGCAAATATCCAAAAAAGACGGAGAACAAGAGTACACGTTGTTGATCAACTCCAGTCTCCACAAATGAAAAAAAAATGGCTGATTACTTTGATGAATTGATTTATCCTGCATGCAACAGCATTTCCCCTTGTTTCTCGAATTGGTTTGATTCGCATGGCGATCGCCTTCTTCGACTCCTCATCATTCGGTCCTTGTTCAGTAGTTTGACACGCAGCAGTGTTTTTGGTGAAGGAAGACGAAACGGGGGAAGAGAAAGGATGTTGCACTAGTAGCACGTGTAGCAACATAACCTTATATATAATTCTATATAGAATCATTTTAACAAAAAAATTATATTATTTCTGCGCATACTGTTTAATGAATTTTATTTTGTCGGTAAATAGAACCTTGAAAATTTATCACATTTTGAATACTTTTAGTTATGATATTAAGAAAACCTTTTAAGTTTAATTAACTTAAGCTTAAATGTTCCTATTTTAGCATTTTCATATTAAATCATTTAAACTGCTTTACTAATATTGTAATGCAAGATGCTATTAATCTCACGAATCTTTTGATCAGTGAAATTAGATTCTCTTTCAAAATAATAATAATTACCATCCAATCATTTCATTTCTCAACTATATATCTTTCTGGTAAAACAGATAAGAAAATAGATAATTATCAAAACATAAACAATGCATACTAGTCGTGTAAAAACCCTCATCACTGGATGATGCAACAAAGGTAAAACATAAAAATAGAACATCATTACGCTTTGTTGAAGAATTAAAAAGGAAATACAAATATTTCCCTCCCATTTTCCTATTTGTTAAAGTTTTGTATAACATACCCAATTAGTACTCATGAAGAACAAGATAGCATACGCACACCAGGCCGATAAGCCCATGCTGGCGGCAAACGAGCATATTTTTCCATTCCAGGTTGCTCATCATAAGGTCGCTCCATTACTTTAAGCAGCCTTCGGACCTCTCCAAAATCACAGAGTTCGGCTGCATCGATCGCACTCTGGCATAGGTAGTTCCTCAGAACATATTTAGGGTTCACCAAGTTCATTGAAGTTTTTCTCTCCTCATCTGAGATGCCACTGGCAACAAGCTGAACAAGGAAAGATATTTTGCAGGATTTCAGCAGTCGATACACATCGGTAATATTAATGACAAAAAACATATTGTACCTCTTTTATATAGAATTGCACCCAACTGGCCCACGCCTCCTTACGTTCCTTGCCAATATCTAGCAGAACAGCCTTTAGTGGAACCAACAACTTATCTTCTGGAATGTCGGGATCTGCTTTGATATTGGAAAGTGAACGAAAGAAGTTCGTGTAATCCACTTTATCAACAGCCAAATTATTAAGAAGTTTATTGACAAGCTGTTTACTGTACTTTTGGAGACCAAGCTTTCGGCTCATTATAGCTTGATATTCATCCATAAATTTTGTCCCGTACCTGCAGCAAAACAATGCATTGATGATCTATCATGGAATAACTTACTATTACGGTGGAAAGATAACTCAAATCGGACATACCTTTCCATGGCGTAATTAGCTTCCTTATTACTAATCAGATTTGCAGCCATCAAACTGGAGGCAAATTGTGTAATATTCCACAAGCAAATGTCAGGCTGATTTCCAAAACAGTATCTTCTCCCAGGAAGATCTGTAGTATTTGGTGTGTAACTTGGATCAAAAGCATCTAAAAATCCAAAAGGACCATAATCAATGGTGAGACCTAAAATGCTCATGTTGTCGGTGTTTAGCACACCATGAGTAAAGCCAACTCCCTGCCATCTAGCAACCAAAGAAGCAGTGCGCTCAGCAATCTCCACTATCCATGCTGGATATGAACAAGAAAAAAGTGAAAACTAGGAACAATTACCACGAATCATGAAATTTACAAGCTTATGGACAAATGCGCTCAACAACAAAAACTAATTAATTCAAAATCTTATGAGGTTCATGCTTTCAAACTAAATCTATACTCCCTGAGTCGTTAACAAGGAGGTAGAATTTTATGAACACATAATGCTTACAAATAAGAAGTGTTTCTTCATTGACCTGAAAGTAAGTTTTAAACCAAGCAGAGTGAAGCTAGCATGTCTCTAAAGAAGAAAACATGACATAGACTCATTGCCCAGATGCACAAGTGTTATGCAACATGCCTTCTCCAATAATGCTGATTTGGGCATTGTGCCCTATATGAACTAATGGAAATTTTGGAATATACCTACATTTTCTGATAATTACAAAACTTAAAACAAAAGCAGTAGGAAATCATGTTCTCAGGGACACTAAAGAACTAAAGAAGAAATCTCAAAGTAATAACCGTTAAAAGAACACAGAAAGCACGGAAAGAGAAGGGAGACTGACTTGGCTAACAAAGTGATATACAATCTAATTTTGCCAAAACAACTTCCATATTGCTCATGAAATTTACCCTATATTGCCAAAACAATTTCCAAAATGATAATGGATCCTTATATTTACCTGCATATTTGTTTGAAGTCAAATCCACAACCAATTGATCATCATCACCAGTGCTAAAAGATAAGCTCTCACTTATACTAATGTTCTCAATATGAGGAAAATGGTGTCTGATGGCATAGTCTGCCAAAGCACGAACAATACCAAGGTCCTCTTCTCCCCTAGAAGAATGTATTTGGAATGAACCAAAACGGAGAAAGGACTGCGCAACTCTGCAAACAATTGCACCAGGCTCTTCCTTTGGATTGCCACTGAAGTATAAGATGTAAACAAATATAACTAAGAACACACCCCTCATATACATTGTATGTAGGTAATGCCTAGTTAGCCCATTGTTATCTTAAATTAAAAACCCAGTGAACATACTCATAAAACATATCTCGAGTAACAAGTTTTCCAGTGGTCACAAGGCAAAGAGCACGAGTAGTTGGGATTCCTAGAAAATGCATTGCTTCACTGCAAAGAAATTCACGGATACTACTTCGTAAAACTGCAAGCCCATCAGCAGATCGACTGTATGGAGTCTTCCCAGCTCCTTTAAGCTGCAATTCCCACCTTTCTAGCTTAGAATTCAGAATCTCCCCAAGAGTAATAGCACGGCCATCACCCAGTTGGCCGGCCCATGTGCCAAACTGATGTCCTCCGTAGCATTGAGCATACGGCACACTGTCAGAGGGAACATCAATGAAGACCCAAAGGATAATAAATAATAAAGAAACTGATGTCTGATAGTAATTTGTAGAAAAAGCTCGAAGACAAATACTTACGTTCCTGTCAAAGGAGAAGCTCCGGAAAATTTAATGGGAAAATCTGGTCTTTCAAATCTGCAACTCCGACAAAGAGCTGTATGGTTAATCATTTGCGCAACACAATGCAATACAACTATACAAGGGGATACAAAAAACGGCAGTAAGTAACAATCAAAGCCAAGGCATGAAAGACACAATTCTCAAGATTACTGACAAGTTAATCAATAATCATATAAACATTTTTTAATAATATAGTATGTTTGGTATAACAAGGCAAAGTTGATAAGTAAATGGTATTACTTTTTTTCTTATTTTGGTGCACGCATTACAGAATTCCCTCATCTTATTTTTCATAATCCAATCCCTGTAGTATATTTGACAAAAATATATACATATAATCACATCTAACAGTGTTGATTATAATCAAATATTATACCAATGGCAATCCAATGTCCCATACACACCCATGTTAACAACAAAAAAATCGAAACATTATTAGTCAACTGACATTTCATGCACTACATCTAATACCTATGGCAAGTCTAAATACAGATTACTCAGATACCCATCACCCTTCATTCGCTAGTATTTTCTGAAGGACCAGTGTAATGCAATACTTACTCTTTAGGATCCAAATCCAGCAAGTCAGCCACTGAATCTGACCAAACAACAAGCTCCGGATTCTCTACTTCAGCTGATGGCAAAACCTTTGTATAACATGCATGTAAAACCTGCAAAATCATCAGAAAACCTTTTTAAAAAAATTATATTCTAAATTATACAAATCAAATATACCTTTTAATTCTTCTCTCTTCAAACCGCATAAATATCATTTCTTATATGTTGAAAATTCTAAAAATGAAATTTAAACTAATAGTATAGTTTAGTCCGAACAAACACCGACTGTACAATAAAATAAAATAAAAACGAATTGCTTTCAACAAATTTCCATTCAGCTTAGACATATGTATAAAACTCGAACATGAAAAAGAATTTAACAACAGTAGAAATTAAACCTGACGAGGAATAGAGTCGCTTTGAGCGTCCCCAGGGAGTTCTCTGACGAATGAATGATCCCAATTGAGATCTTCAAGGCTCAATTTAACAAGGCTCAATTTAACGTTTTTGTTTTTATTTTCTTCGTTTATGTGATCGTCACCTTGTTCTCTGAAGCTTTGATTTTTCAAACTGTCGACAACGGACTCGAGGGAGAGGGAGGAGGGAGGGTCGGGTGAGGAAGAGTCCATACGAAGGCTGCCGCCGGTCTAAACGCGGCGTACAGGGGAGAAGCGATGTTCGAGGAAAAGAATGGGTGAGAAATAGGAGCGGAGGCAAAAGCAAAGGCTTAGAGAAGTGAAAGAGGAAGAAACAGAAAGTCGATGCATCTTTGGGACATTTTTGAATTTATATCATAACTTTTTTTCAGCATTTTCAAAAGGGTAAACTACAATCATTCATCACTGAACTATATCTCACTTCTATTTTGATTACTAAAGTTTAAAACTTTTTCATTTGATCATTCAACTTTAAACATTAAATTTATTTGATCACTAACGTATTTTTCTCTAACACTTTGATGACATGTAATTTTTATTAATTTTTTAAGTGATAATATTTTTTATATTATTTCTCATATTTTTTTCACTTTAAAGTAGGGGTGTTCATTTTTCGGTTTTAATTGAATTAACCGATTGAATCGAATTAGTTCGATTAATTCGACCGGCCACCGAATTAGTTCGGTCAAGAAACGGTTAATAATTTTTTTAGAATTCAGTTAACGTTTAATTCGGTTCGAAATCGATTAATTAACTGAGTTAATCGAATTAACCAAAATTAAATTTTAAATATATTATATATAACATATATGCTCACCCCAAACCATTTAAAACCTAATTAATAATTTAAAATTCAATAAATTTTAAACCTAAATTAATACTAATTAATTAAAAAAATCTAGATATTATTTAAATTAATTGTAAACTATTTTTTGAATTAAAAAATATGCAATTGTTATATAAATTAGAAAATTTAGGTTAATTCGAAAATTGACTGAATTAACCGAAACTTGTTCAGTTCAGTTAATAATTTTCAAATAAATTTTAGTTCGATTAACGATTAAATAAAAAAATTTAATTAATTCGGTTATGATTAATTCGATCGGTTACCGAATGAACCATTTGAACACCCCTCTTCAAAGACCCGATTACCACCTCTACACCGATTGGTGAAGAACCGATTCTCAAAGGGGCCGGGGTGGGTTGCTGGGTTGGCTTTGCTCTCAACTTTCTCACAGCGGTGAAAACAAGAGAGGTCAACTGGAGTGGAAGCCAAACGACGGGCCCAATAATCTGTGATAGAAGAACCACTGTCAGATACAATTCTGCTCCCCCTTCGTATACTACCAAAAAAATGAGATTCCTGCCCATCTTTCTTTCGGCTTAAGAAGGTTGTAGCGAGACTGAGGATCATTTCGGAACTCTAGGAGAATGGTCGTTTTAGGGGGATCTAAAAGCTCTCCAACGTGTTGCGGTCGGTGGCTTCCCAGTCTGCGCACTCGAACGAAACAAGAAAAGAAAGAAATACTCTGATTAATTCAATAATTCGGTGGATAGTTCAGGTCTCAAGTTGGTGAGCTGCATCGGATCGACTACCTCCACCATCTGCTTCAACAGCAGTAGTGCATAGACCTGAGAATCGTAGCTTTTGCGTTGCATTATTCTCGTAATGTAATGACCCTTCAGGTGCTGTTTGCTGATGAGTCGTGATTCCCATAATGGAAGCCAAGAACTCAACAGTACTTGAAGATTCCATGCACCTTTTGTTTGTAGCATTCTCAAAAGTGATTGATTATATGCTCTTGAGACACTTGATCTGTTGCTGCAGTGGCTTGGCATCGTTGAGAAGTTTGATGATCCTCATTCTCAGGTGGGTAATTGATTTTCTATATAGTGTCCTTAATAGTGAGAGGAGAGGACGAGAGGTACAGAAAGTACAACGGGAGAGGATTTTGAAGGCTTCCTTAGGCTTGTGTGAAGCTTAGCTTACTTTAGCAGCCACGTGATGATTCAAGTTGTCGAGACAAGCTAGCTGAAAGGGGAGAGTTTCTGAAAGATATCGATTGAAAGGAGATGCCTGCAAGTCTCGACCACCAGTGGATGAAAACGGTTGACAAACGATTAGATTTCTCTTTTAAACTTTACCGTATGGTGATATCTGTGATGAGTTTGCTGCAATGTGTGTAGCCGGAACAACAAACGGTTGACAAACGGAACTCCGAGAGTCTCTCTTGACAACGGCAGCCTCTCGAGTGTCTTCGGAAACATACCGACTTTGCATTGAATGACATTAAATGAATCTAGTTTTTACAAAATCCAGAAGATTCAGCTACTAATATCGAAATTCGAAAAATGTGAGGTTTGACACCTTATCCAGTCCGAAGCATCACCGTTGACTCTATTTTATATAGTATAGGGGCAAGCCGCTCACTTCGCCTAAACTAAATGAACGGAGCGCTCTTAGGTACCACATGTTGGATGAAAGGAATACTAGTTTGTTTTAGGTTGACGAGGAAATGAAGAAAAAAATGGAAGGGGAGAGAAGAAAGAAGGAAATATGAGAAAAAAAAACAGAAAAATAATTTTTATTTAGTTTAAAACGACATCATTTTAATCTAAATTTAATATTATGTAGGACTCAAAACTATGTCGTTTTGGTTCCAGTTGCCATGTCAGAACATTGTTAATTATTTAACGGTAGAGTGACCAAAACATGAGCAATTCAAAAGTTAAGTGATTAAATTAAAAAAATTTAAACTTAAATGACCAAAATAGGAGTGAGAAGATAGTTTAGTGATGAATAATGTAATTTACCATTTTCAAAAAGAAATGTTCTTCTCCTTATTTTTCATTTTTTTCATAAATTGTTTTGTTTTGTTTTGTTTTTCTATTTTTATGTAATTATTGTGTTTTAGTTTTTTAAGGTTTAATGATAAAATAATAGCTTAAATCACCTTTATTTATTTTCTTAAATAAATGTTTAAATTGTCACGATCATTAAAGAAAATCGTCAATCGCTCATAATGTGACATATATTTTATTTTATACTAACTTTTTTAAAATATTAAAAGAAATCTCTATAATATTAGAATTCTTAAAATCCTAAAATACTCTTTAAAATTTCTAATCTTAAACAATAACAATTTAGTAAAATATGATTTTATAATTTTTAGTTTCTTCTTAAAATTTAAATATAGTTGTATTTCATCTTTAACTTTTCTTATTGCATCCAAAAGTTCCGGTGTTACGTTCTCATACTGCAACAAAAAATTTTTAGGAGTCGTTGCTGTTACAAGTGCTTCCTTTCGCGAAATTGGTTGCCACTTTTGATTTGAATTGACTAATGAGGAATGTTTGATGTTGTTTATATAGTGGTTGATTTTTTTACCACACATGAATTTACATTTAAGTGTTAACTATTATTACATACCACAATGAAATTTTTTTTTAGGGGTATGTATTACATTTAATTAGCACGTTGTATATGAACATCATTTAATTAGTCAATACAATGTATATGTTTCATTCGTGAAGAAATAGATTCGTTGAATCGGAAAAAATCTCTTTAAATTAATAAATTATTAATTTATCGTTTAATTAATACTTCTTTAAATTAATAAAATTACGTGATCCTAATATTATGTTGTTTTGCTGCATCCCAATGAAGTTGATGCGGCACCCTTCCAGTGACCTTCCTGGAATGCCCCAGGCTCCTATTCGTACTTCTTGGGCCTTTGCAACACATGAACCTGCTGAAGCAGAGCACTATATGATCCATTAATTGGAAAGAAAGCTTGGACAAGGTGGCACGCAGACAACCATTTCTATGAGGCCGTTATAACAAACTATAACCGGATTGAGGTATATTCTTCAGTTGATTATACAGTGAGTTGTTAATTATTGGAGCTATAATACTATGTTTCCATATTGTACGGCGGCATGCTTTGGTTTATGATATAAATATAGCTGATGAAACCTGGGAATGGGTCAATCTCAAAGAGGTAGAGTTGTTGCATTTTATTGCTATTTCATACATAATATTTTTACTTTGTACGGCCTGTTTTACCTTCCATTGGTATATTTTATACAATTTTTAACAAAGTTAACTTTTAAGCTCTTAGCATCTGTTTCTTGGGAGCTTTTATGCCATTCATAATACATTGCAGAATTCATGTGCATGGTCTATCCATTATCTTGAACCATATTTTCCCCTTGATAGGGTTTGCATCTCATAGGGTTACGTTGCCATGCACAACCAATGATCAATATGATTATCATGAATTTTCAAGCCGTTTATGTCTGAGAATAATCAAATTTAGGAGGTTCACTATTTCCTCTGATATGCCTGATATGATAAGGATAATGTGACCGAGTAATATATTTCCACATTGTTGATCGATATATAAACTAAATTCAAGTTTTGTGTTTGTATATCTTGACAATTTTCGCCCACTACGAATATTCGCTTTCAAACATATAAGGGTTATGCACCAAGGATGGGGTCCGTGTTTGTAATTGTTGTACCTAATGTTGCTAAGCTTGTATTATGACCTACTGAACTGGTTATTGTCATTTGTAACATGTCTTCATTTTCTTGTTTCCTCCTAGGATGTCTTTTAGTGGGGTGACTGGAGCAGGAAGAGGTAGAGGGAGTTTAAAGGGTCAGGCTAAAAACGATTTTCCTTTGATGCAAAATGGTGTTGGAAAAAAGGTTTTGGAGGATATCGAGATACTTCGTACAGATACTCTAATTAAGGATGTATAACTGCTACTGCGAGATCATCTAATAAACTTTATTTGTCAAATGTGTATGCTTCTTAATTATGGAAATGTTGAAGAGCCAGATAAAGTTTTTGGTGCAAGTCATCCTGATTCCATAGAAATTGAGAAAGCAAAGAAAGCGCTGAAAGTGAGTATTATCTTCTAATGCTGTTGCATTGGTCTATATTTAGCTATCGAAGCAGCAACCATTGTGGATATATTTCATTGCAGGAGCACGAACAAGCCTTAGTTGATGCAATTGCGAGACTTGAAGGTGCATCTGATGGTGAAAGTGGTAATAACTAATTACATATAATTATGTCACAGATTAATAGTTAAAATATGGATGCACAATCTTTTATTGTATAATCTAATTGTAGCTTTTGGATGTTCAGTTTACCTTTCACTAAGGTATACAAGTTTCCTATTATTTAATGTTGTCCACTTGTCCTCCTCCCATTCCCCTTCTAATAAGAAAGAAAGCATGGATTCAAATTAACTTGTATAGCATAGCTTCTGTCTTAAGCCCGTTTCACTATTTAACTTATTGACTGCTGTTCCTGTGACATCAACAGCAGCAAGATGAATCTATAGTTCAAAAAAATCATAATAAAGAAAATAAAAGGAAGCTTGTAACATATGGAAATGCCTTCAACTTCAAAGGAGTTATATTTATCTCAATTAATAGGTTACATATGGCTAAAATAGGTATATATATATATATATATATTTATTTGATTGGATTCAAGCATATGGAGAGCATCCTTTCTCACAAGGGCAGTCAACGGATAAAGAAAGAGCGTGGAGAAATAGGTCGTACAATGATGAGATGGGTTAAGGTAGAATGCTTGAGGGGTCCGATGGCGCGATAAAATGATGAGAGGTGTCCATAAGTTTCGGGTAGCAAATTTAACCAGCTTAGCATGTACAAAAGCAGCAGCTGTGGGGTTCTTAACTGAACAAAACGAGTTTTGTAATCTTGTTTTAATCCTTGAGGTAAAGGGCCTAATCCTCTTTAGTTAGTAGGCTGCATGCTATTGTAACTTTAATCTAACTGTAGATTAGGGAAATGTTATGTGTAAAGTTTTAAAATATTACTGGTGAATCCCTTGACTATGTAAAAAATTTAATTCATTTTGTTTGCAGCCAAGTTCACTGAAACTCAATTTTTTTCATTTGATCATACAGGATGGAAACCGAAGGTCTAAAGTCCGGCAAATTACACAAAATAATACTATATATTTATAATCAGATCGCTTTCTACAAAACAATTAGAGTTTAAGGAAGCAAATTTCATGGCAATTCATCAAACACTAGTGTTTAAAGAACAGGCTGCTTGTCCTCCAATGAGTCGATGAATTTGAGGACAAGTTTAACCATAGCAGCATCATAAGCAGGGCCTTCCATTTCAAAGTGGCTAACTCCTTCTATCAGATGTGTTTCATTGTGTCCTGCAGCAGACTTGAGCTTGTTCTCGAGCTGTTTGACGCTCGTAAATCCATCCCGAGTTCCCATGACAAAGAGCTTAGGTTTCGAGGATTGCAGGATGGCTTTGTGGTGTCTTCCAAAAAGGATTGAGGCCATCATCCCAAAAGGGTATCCCAGACTTACATAGCCCACAACTTGCTCGACTTGATCCACTGCAGACCCCGCGATTGGCGCCCCTACAAAAGGAAATAACAAAACAAATAACAAATGATGCAGGCAAGTCACAAGGCTCGAGCAAACAGTGTTCTTCGCATTGCCTTAGGCTCAGCCCCCCAAAAAATCTGGCATCCACCCCCGCTCTTCCCGACACACAATGCAAAAAAGGAAACTTATGAATCTAATTTCAATGTTTCTATTCATATTTCAAAATATCCGAGGGGCAAAACATTTGATCATTGTATGAGAATATAACTTTTAAGGTTTTCCAAATATATGAAGAAGCTTCGAAAAATTTAACCATACCCATGTCCAATATATAATTGTATCTAACATTCACATCCTTTTTCGCAGTGGCAACTGGCAAGGTCTGCTGTATCTGTATGTTAGTAGCACTCAGAACATCAAATTTCTAGTTTAAGGCTAACTTGCTCACGAAGAACACCTTCAAAAAGAATTTCATCCATTTTTTACGGTGATGATAACAACTATTAAAGTAATATCATTATTAGAAATTATATTTATCTAACATGAAAAAAATAAATTTATTTGTTCTCAAAAATATTAAATATGTAAAACTGAACCAAGATAAAAAAAAATATTGTTACAAATATATCAAAATCAAAGCTTTATAGGTGTAATTATAACATATCGAAGTTTATTTATCATATTCATATACAATTTTGAGATTTATTTGGGAAAGGAAAACAACAAGAAGAACAAAGTTTCCAACAAATCAATTCCTTCAACAACCTCTAGCATCTACTGTACTCATCTACACATCCGGAAAATTTTCAGGTACTGAGTACAAAATCTGGAAAAGCTACTAACGTAAACAATATCAGAAGTAATTCAGAATGCCATCCTTATAATTTAGAAAGCTGTTGGGGGGGGGGAGGAGAGAGAGAGAGAGAAAGAGAGAGGGAAGATAGTTTTTTTTGGGGTCAACAAATAACACTGAAATCATTTATAAACCTAAAACCAAAAATCCCCTTGTAATCTCCGAAATGGAACTTCCATTAAATTTCACTCAAAATCTAAAATGTTGTCTTTTCTTCCTTTCCAAAGTAAATTATTAAATGGGATCTAATTTTAATCGAGGAATCTAATTACTACACAAAACCCAACAATCCCTCTCCATACCAAAAACAAAGGAACTTGCAAAAAAATGAATGGATGATTCTAATATACCTGCAGAAGAACCCACCAACAAGATTCTATCAGAAGAAAGATTTTCAGAAACCCAATTGCAGACAGCTATGACATCCTTGACTTCAGCGAAACCTGTGAGAGAAGCTCTTCCAGTCGACCTTCCAACTCCCCTCATGTCAAAAGTAACAGCCCGGTAACCATATTCAGCTAACCCAGTAGCAATCCCTTTCAAAAGAGCCTGGCGACCACCCAAGACCGAGTATGGATGGACAAGGACTATCACTAGGTTGTCTTTGATCTCGTCTTTTGGTTTGAAAACCCTGGCACTCAGATTCGCTTTATCAGGGGTTTCAACAGTGGGGTAATCCACTTTGTAGTTTGACATTTTTGGAGAGAGGGAAAGTTCGGGAATAGAATCCGGGAAAGAGAACGAGGGAATATAAGTAAAATGCGTGTTTGAGTTCGTAGCTTCTAGGAGGTAAAAATAAAATACTAAGAAAGAATGAGATGTAGAAATTTGATGAGAGGAGTTGGCAATTTAATTGTTATTGGACGACCACGCTACTACCCACTACCCATGATTAAAGATTCATTTACATACATTACCAACAAATAGTAGATGAGGTATTAACTTACTTAAATGAGGTTGGAGGTTTGAATTTTGACGTTTACGAATGAAATGAATTGGGTTGAGAGGATCACCATCGCCTTTACAGTACCCAATCTAAATTAATCGGTCAATAGATCGAATATTAGTGATTAATTAAAAAAATTATTTACATTATGAGGCCGGAATTTGTTTGACTAATTGTAAAAAAAATCAAATTTCACCAAAATAAATTTAATCAAGATTAAACTACACTTAAAGTTATTTTATTATGATTTTAAAAATAACTAAATTATTTTTGATAAAATTACAAATAAGTTATTTAATTAACATATTATTATAAATATTTCACTTTACTTGTTAAATATTAGATATAACAACAATATCATATAATATAATATTTTTAATTTTTAATTTTTAAATTTTTATAACTTAATTTAATTTAAAATAATTCAATAAATTTTTTTTTATAATTTTGAACACATTAAGTGGTCTCAGAGGTAAAAAATAAGATTATTCTCCCTAAAGGTATTAGGTTCAAGCATATGTGTTTGTAGGGTGCGTAAACGTTGTTTAATAAAATTCTGAATAAATATTACCTTGTAGTTACTTCAGACTATTAAAAACCATAATTTTAATATTTTCTATTTTCTTAAATTATTTATTTTTCTCATAAATAATATTGTTATTTTTCAAGTGTAATAATAATTTAAAAAATCACATTACTTATTTATAGCATAGAAAATTATTTAATTATTATTTTTAATTCGATGTACTTGATTAATTTGATAATACTATAAGAAAATGAAATGATAAAATTTTTATAATATGATATTTAATGGTGTATCATAATTTTAAAGTATAATACAATATTTGTAAATAGTGTGCACATGTTCATTTAAGTAATTAGAGTTTGAAAGTTAAAACATTAGATTTAATTAATCTAATTTCATATCATATTTCCGTTAAATTTAATTATTTAAGTATTTTAAATTACAATAAATCAGTGAAAATAATTATTTAAAATAAATAAATAAAACAATGATTGGTCATAATTTTGGGTGTCCAACAGCTCAAGGTCAAATTATCGGCGATTTGATCAAACTGACATTGTTTAATCGAATATTTATTTTTTTAACACTGTTTGATATATATTTTTCGAAGTGACACCCTTTCGGCTGAGCTGGCGAAAGGCGTATCCCCGGGGACGCGCTTTACCCGGGTTTTCGCTAAGTTGGATGCCACGTGTGGAAGGCGCATCCCCACAGGATTCTGATGACTCGACTGTCACGCTGGTATTTTGTTTAATAATAAATATTTTATTTTTATTTTTATTTTTATTATAAATTAGTAATATATTATGTAAAGTGTTTCGATTATAATATAAGAATTATCAAATGTATTTTGTTAATGTGTGTTAAAGGTAGAGTGAATTATCTACATTAATATGATAGAACAATATATGAAAACCAGTTTTGATTTTATTGTAGTTATAAGAAAAATGTATGAAATTATAATATTACACATATGGTTATATTATTATTTTTTATTTTGATTATCGATGTATTAATTTTATTAGTTAATTATTTAAATGTTATCAATCTAGTCATCTCTTATCAATATTTAACGAAAATATTAATGCATAAGTTAATAAATTAGTATAATTACACATTTAATCTTCAAGACTTACATATTTTATGAATTTAGTCTTATTGAAAATTTAATTTAATAAATTTAATCCTCCAATCAGAACATGAAATATGTCATCGTATACATAAATTTTTAATAACTTTTTATTTGTTTAATTTAATATTTTTCTCTACTTAGAAGGTGAAAATTATTATTATATTTTAAAAAAATTTATAACTAATAATATTAATTATTATATTAAATAAATATATTGAAAATATTTATGTATTTAAAAGTTAAAAAAAATTATTTAGGTGTACATACATTGACAAATTATATAAAATGAAATAACATTAAATTATTAGAAATAAAAACATTTATTTAAATACAATATTAATTACATAAGAGTTAACGGTTATATGATGATAACAGAGTTGAACATTTTTTTCTATTGTGCCCGATGTTTCTACAATGCCCACATCGTTTTTGTTCTGTTGACTTCTCCCGAATATCCATATCACAATGTATTCTAGTAGATTTTGGACGACCTGAGTCCCTCAATAGCAATGGATCTGGTACAATTGTAAGCCAAGTTTGAATCTCATTTGGGTCTCTTTCGTTTCATATGGGCGGAAACTCAAATTCATATACCTTGAATACTTGTGAAAGTTGGTATACGTGATCAACATAATTTTTGTAGTCCAAATGCGAATGTGAGCAAGGTACAATGACATGAGAGCATGAATATTTGAGTGCTTGAAAGAAACCACAATCGCACCACCTCTCTTGCAGATTAACTCTGAAAGAGTTAGCTTCAATCCCTTGCAGCGGATGTGGCATTTCGGTTACACGAAACAATTCACGGGTGCGAGAAAAATTTGTAACTAACATCCCATTTGATGCAGCCACTTTTTTCTGTAAATCAGCTACTAGTCTTGGGTGGTAAATATGGCCATTTTGCATCCAAGTAAGAGCTTGTCCACCGAGCTTTGCAAATAGTTGACCCAAACGAAAATAAGTCGTTTTAACCAACGCCGTGACTGGTAAATGACGCGCCCCCTTTAAGGTTGAATTTATTGCTTCAGCCAAGTTTGTTGTCATATGACCATAGCGATACCCCCCGTCATATGCATTTGTCCACATTTCTTTGCTGATGTTCATAATGTACTCGCACCCCTTCTTATTTTTGCCAAACAACTCTTGTAGCATCGACTCAAACCTTTGAGGTAAGAGTTCGTAACCTAAGCCATTAGGAATATGTAATAGTTAATATGAAGTATAAATAAGAAATAAGAAATTGATAGAAAAATTGGGAAAAAGTAACATACCCATCCGCACGACTAACTGACGTTCATCGTTCTTCTTGTATTTTTCGTAATAGTTTGCAGCAATATGACGGACACAATAACGATGTTGAACATGTGGAGGTCTATACATTGTACCCAAAGAGTGCATTGCTGCTTTTATCCCGACTCCTCAGTCTGAAATAATGCATACTCGTTCCCTGGTGACAACATGTAAACGTAAAATTTTAAGGAAAAAAGCCCAAGACTCAGTGTCTTCTCCTTGAACGAGGGCAAACGCAATAGGAAGAATATTACGGTTTCCATCTTGGACCACAACCAATAATAAAACTTGATTGTATTTCCCATACAATAAAGTACCATCAATTTGGACAACTAGTTTATAGTACTTGACTGCATTAATACACTGAGGGTAAGTCCAAAAGACACGGTAAAATTGGCAGCGATCGCGAACCATTCGATCATTCACGTAATGATGTTGAGTTTCGAACTCAACAATTGTCCCAGGATTAAGTCTTTGCACAACATGAAACCAACTGGGCAGCTCGTTGTAAGAGGAATCCCATTCGCCATGAAGTTTGCAAATGACATTCTGTTTTGCCAGCCACGCTTTTTTATATGAGACAGTATACCCATATTGTGACTGTATAGCAGAAATCAACACCGCAACAACTATATGAGAGCTTTGCTTCACAATGGGCATGATTTCTTGGCAAATAATGTTGGAGTCCAAGTTGGGATGATCCTGGTTTATACCTCTTGCACAACATGTATGAGGACCGTTGTATCTGGTTAGTTCCCATAAGTTGTTCTTCCTCTTCCTTTTTGATACACGGACCATCCATTGACATCCGTTATCACGTTGGATGTAGTAGCAGACATATTTCTCCGTGTTAGATCGATCAACTCGGGACTGAACTGAGTTACGAATATTATAACTCTTTATTGCCATCATTGCTTCCTCCTTCGATGCGAACTCCATTCCAATATGTAAATTACCGTCATTGATTGATGATTGAAGTCCATAGTTGCCAACATCAGGAAGATCTGGAAATTCAGGCTCATACATTGCATCATAATCAGCCTCATACATATGTGCAGGAAGTTCGGCTAGTGTTGTATTTATCGGAACGTCATCCTCGTCATCATCAGAATGTACGTTAAACTGTGGTGAGTCAAGTTCAACGAATAATCCCGTTTCAGCACCATCTGCACCTGGCTCCCGAAGAGGTTCTTCTGGTGGAGATAAGGGTTCCTCCGATAATCCAATGTTGAGGTCAAATAAGTTCCCGCTTGCGTGTCCTCCCCTTGAACTTGAGGCCATTGTATTATGTGGGATGTGAATAAACTACCGTCTCGTTGGCATTTCCATATGTAAGTCGAAAACATTGGCAGATGAATGTCTGCCCCTTGAAGTATAAGAGATGTTGCCATATGGATTATTGGTGAAGCCACGTGGGTTGAGATCATAAGCAGTTGTAGATGAATGCCTTCATATTGAACTTGATGGCATGAAATCTGGCTTTGGATCCGTCATTAATGATGTGAAATCATTACAGATCAGTTGTGTCGGGCTATCAACTTGATCAGCTTAATATGCAATGCCAAAGTGAGAGGAATATGAGAGATCACGAGTTGCACGAACCTCAATAAAAGTGGCATACATTTCAATAAGAGATTGTGAACTCCCCATATGAATATCAACCATCATAGAAACATCATCATCGTTTGAAAGCTGAAATGATGTATATGTGAGCGGAAAAAGTTCAGTAGGAAATCTGTACTAAAGTGAAGATAGTCTTCTCTGGCCTGCTACACGAATCTTTAACGAAATTTTTGTGATTAACTCCTCAATTGTGATGTTTCTCTTCAAGGTTAAGGGGATATAATGATCTGACTCAAAAACAACCCCTTCTTCAGCTTCCTTAATTTCTCCATCATACAAAACAACAGCAGAAAGACGACTCATTTTAAGAGAATTTGAGAATTTAGAGTTTGAGAATTTGAGAATTTGAAAGCTTGTGAACTGAAGTTTGTTTTGAAAGTTTATAATACGTTGCATATAATAGTGTCTATAATCGGGGTACTATTCACATGAAGGCGCGTTCTCGGGGGCGCGCCTTCTATTATTTTATCAGAGAATATGTTATCATTGCCCTATTATGTCACTCATGTCCCTCGGGGACACTATTTATATCAGTACCTATTATTTCTCATGGGACTTGAAGGCGCGTTCCCGGGGGGGCGCCTTCCATTATTTTGTCAGAGAATATGTTATCATTGCCCTATTATGTCACTCACGTCCCTCGAGGACACTATTCATATCAGTACCTATTATTTCTCAGGGGACTTGAAGGCGCGTTCCCGGGGGCGCACCTTCCATTATTTTATCAGAGAATATGTTATCATTGCCCTATTATGTCACTCATGCCCCTCAGGGACACTATTCATATAAGTACCTATTATTTCTCAAGGGACTTGAAGGCGCGTTCCCGGGGGCGCGCATTCTATTATTTTGTCAGAGAATATGTTATCATTGCCCTATTATGTCACTCATGTCCCTCGGGGACACTAGATGGATTGTGAAATCAGGTAAATTATAACCAAATTTTAACTTCTTTTGAAAGTTCAGCAAGTTAAGAATAAATTATACATATAGATTAATTTAAGTTCATAACTTAAATTAAAACGTTATGTGAAGTTTGAATAAATTAGATAAAATGTTATGGATAAATTGAATAAATGTGAAGTGATAAGTTGATTGTGACATTGAAATTGTATGGAATGAGCTCGAGATGTTTTTACGAATAAATGTGAAGTGATAAGTTGATTTTAATGTATACGTTTTAATATATATGTTAATGATAAAACCATATGTATGGATAAATTTAATTTCAATTTAAGTATTGTGAACTATAATTGGAATATAACTTTTAATTTCGAATACAATTGGAATAATAAGTTGAAATTTAATGTTAAATTTCGAATACTGTAATTTATATTTTAATTTTAATTTTCGAATAATATTATTTTTATTTTAAATTTCGAATAATATAATTTGTATTTTAAAAACATTTATCAAACATTTAATGTTAATTGTGAATAAAAAATAACATTAAAAATATGTATGTAATAACCATGAAACATTTAAATAACATAACCAAATTACATAAAATTTTGAAATATAACTATTTAAATAACATTAAAATACAACTGGATCACCGATGTCGTCTTCTCGAATGAGTTCCACATGGAGGTGGTTGTCTATTTCGTGGAGGATTTCTTCGTGGAGGATTTCTTCGTGGAACTTGTTCTTTAGTCTCCTCATCTTCACTATCATCATCATCAACATTTTCTTCATTTGGTGTAGATGACGCTGAAGGGGCTGAAGGGCCTGTATAAAATAACGACCTTGGAGGAGTGCTAGTAACAATCCCACCGCTCCCCGGGAACTGTGAAAACTATGGAAACATTGGCATCGATGTCTGTGATCCAGATGGAGATTGAGGTGTCTGCGGAGAAGCACCACCAGCCAAATAAAATGCATATGAACCATATGCTGAATCATTAAACATAGTCGTATATGCACCTCCATATGGTATAAAACCCTGCGGGCTAGGCATGTAACCATGCGGAGATGGCATATGAACTAGTGGGCTTGGCATATGAAGTGGAGGGTTGGGCATGTACCCCTACGGCATCGGTGGATAAGGATGTTGTGGTGGGACTGATGCAAAACCGGTAGCGCCTTCTCTCCGTCCACGCGTCGGGGGACGATGATATTGAGACGGTTGACGTCTTTCTTGGCGCCTAGGAATGCTAACCCCTCGTGCTTCCGTCGAAAGTAGAAACGACTTCCCATTTTCATTAAACCAGTCCATATAGTTATCCATAACCATATGACCAGTTTCATCGTAATATTGTCGAGGGGACAACAGTTCATATCGGTTCTCTCAAAGCGCAATCCAATCTCTGTGTTTCACCACCCAGTTAACCTCTTTCTTTCCTCGTCTATCTATGTTATGCACGTTGTCTAAATTCCTAGGTGCTCCAGAAATATATTACGTACAACAATACTGATGGAGCACGCGATCAACTAGATGCCACTCAATAATAGCATAACATATAAGAGGTATAACCGACATCGATACCTCTAATGACCCACTAAGGTAGGGTGGGATGCAAGCCTTCACTTCATCGCTCGCTTAAGGTATCCACTGAAACTGAAATATAAATATACAATTCAAACAAAAAAAATATTCTAATTATATCTAGCATTTTAAATTAAAATATTAATATTTAAACAGATTTAAAAACATACCTCAGACCCAGCTTTCGTATCAATAAGTAAACGAATTTCCTCTAACCCAGTAGGTATACTTTTATGGTTCTTTCTTTTCATCGACCACCTATGAAATATAATATAAACTAAATATCACCCTATTTAATTAAAAATATTTAAATAAAAATTTAGTTCGAAAATTACCTCAACAATAAGGGGAATACGTATGGTTCATTCACAATCGGGCATAAGAAAGGCATGCGGAACCACGCCCATGATTGTAGAAGCATGAGACATCCACCAATAGCAGTTTTCTTATAATTTGTCGCCCGACACATTTCTCTAAAGAGAAATGCCAAAACTGCAGCGCCCCAACTATATCTTCCAACTTCATCAAAATCGATCAGATGCCGTAACCACATACAATGCACCTGGTTGCGAGATTTGTCGGGCATCAATATTCCTCCAATTATTCGTAGAATATATGCCTGAGCACATGCCTTTGCTTGATCCTCTGAAGCATTTTCATTTAAAACCTCAAAATTAGCTTTCAACCAAGATAAAGTTATTCTACCTCCATTAAACTCTGGCGGAGCATCTCCAAGATAATCAATGCACATTGACTGCCAATCACCATCCGCCATACCACACATCATATTTCTGTCGACGGGAAGCCCCAGATGCATAGAGACATCCTCCAATGTAATTGTGGCATCTCCACATGGAAGGTGAAAAGTATGTGTCTCGGGCCTCCACCTCTCAATCAGTGCAGAAATTAGGACAAGTTCGAGTTTGCAACCGCCAATAATTGTTGCAATATACCTGAACCTGACAGAAGCCAAATATGGCAAAATACGTTCCGGTGTCGGTATACGTGGATTTTTAATAAAAGTCTCTAAAATACGATCAATATCCTAAATAATATACATTATAAAAAATTAGAATTAATATAAATTCATAATAACTTTAAATTAAAAATAAATTTAAATATTAACATTAATTATAAAAAATATTACCATATCTCTAAAATGTCTGGAGATATGATTAACATCCAATCGCAGCAGCATTTCGTTTTCCATTATAACTGTAGACAAAACAATATAATTAGCACAAAAAAATAATTAATAATTCTAAATAAATAATAATTATATAAATATTATTTTAATAAAAAATAATATTTATATAAATATATTAATATAAAATATAATAACTATTTAAAAAAATACTAACATAAAAATAAATTTATTACCATTAATAAAAAATTTAAAACTCAAATAGTTGGAGAATTTGAGTTATATAAGAGAGGATAATATAATTTTGGTGTGAAGAATGAGGGAGGGTTGAGGGGTTTATATAAGGGAGGAGAAGGGATAGTTAGGGGAAAACGGATGGGGGCATTTATGACATTTAATGGAAGACGTGTCTCTGGGGATGCGCCTTCCACAAATGGCAGTCGAGTCATCAGAATCCTGTGAAGGCGTGTCCCCGAGGATGTGCCTTCCACACGTGACATCAAACTCAGCGAATACTCGAATAAAACGTGTCCCCGAAAATGCACCTTCCGCCAGTTCAACCGAAAGAGTGTCACTTCGATAAATATATATCAAACGATGTTAAAAAAAAAAAAGTAAAGATTCGGTTAAACAAGGGGTCAAATCGTCCAAATTATCTGGACTAAAGTTAGTAGTGGGGAAGTGAACCCCGAAAAGAAAGAATGGGAGGGAGAAAATAAAAATGATTCTGACGGTTGTCATTTTCCTTGCCTTTCTTTTGAACGGTTGAAGTTGAAAATCTTCCTCCGCTGATTTCTTCCTCTAAGGTTTTGGCCTGTTCATTATTTTTTAAGATTCAAGCTATTTGAAATAATGAGGAGAACTGTGAAGAAAGAGAAACAAACGGATAAGGGTACTACATCAGCTGAACCGGTTCGAACCAAGGTTGCTGGAGTGGCCAGGGGTGAGTCGGCGGATCTTGAGTCGAGCCAACTGAATCGTGAAAATGATGCGGAAAATCGGAGGGTTATTCGCTCCAGATACCTTGCCGTGATGACAAAAATCAACGGTTACTTCTATTCTTCTTCATTTCCTTAAAGGACATTCTTTCTATTGTTTATACAAATTGTATATTTGCTTTATTTTTCTTTTCAAATCTTTGTTTATTAAAACCCTTTTACTTAATTTTTTTGGGTGGTGCAGATGTGAGGGATGAAATATCGAGCGTGGATTCTAATAAATTCAACATAATCATTAATGAAGTTGACAACTTGCATCAACAAGGTTTCACTGTATTTTTCCTTTAAATGTCTAGAGAATTTGTTTCCAGTTACTTTTCACCATTTTTGTATAATAATCCGTCATATTTCATTTTTAACTTCTTAAGGAAGTCCGTTAACTCGTTGAAAGTGTTTGGGATTTTCTAGATTTTAATTTAATCAACTCAGTAGTCTTTGTTCATCTTTTTCTTTTCTTTTCTTTTTTTACCTGCCAAAATATGTTGCAAATTGACCCATTTTATTTGTAAAGAAACATATATGTATTATTGTAATTAATTTTTATGCTTCTCTCTTTTGGGGTTGTAGTGTCAAAGCCACGTGAACAAGTAGCTGATGCAGAGGCATTGTTGGACTTGGCCAATACATTGGCAACTTCAGTTAAGTCAATTTCTTGTGAGGGAATCAGCCTGGCAGACTTCTTCAATTGTTTAATTAGAGAGTTTGGGAAATCGAGCAGGAGCCCCGAAACACAAGAAAATGAGCAGATATCGATTGATTGGAAAAATATTGGGATGGCTGTTTCACCATTGCTTAGAACCTGCAAAGGAATTTGTACCATGTTAGTTTTTTCGATTGGATACCATTTTGAGATTTCTTTTTGGTATTTAATTAGTTGGGGGATATGGATTGTTGTATCATTGCTGATTTGTTTTGTTTTCTGTTATTGATCTTTAGGCTCGGACCTATGAATAATTGGTTAAAGCAACGGAAGCCTGTGGTTACAAGAAAGCACAATGTTAGACCAACTGATACTGCTCGGCCTGATGAGGTGAAGTCATGTTTTCTCTGGTTTTTAGTTTTTAAGCATCATTTAGGGTTATGAGAACATGGCTACAAAATTTGACAAACCTCAGTAAATTCATTGCGCTTTTTTTTTTCAAATGATGATGGAATTATTCACTTTACTTTATGGTTTTAGTTATTAAAAACTGAAATTGTTCAAATTTATCTAACCTATCAACTTTAGTTTCTTAGTTTATATTTTTATTTCATTTATATAAAACAAAAGTAGTATATGTTGTCTAAGTAAATTATATTTTAAAACTTCAACTATTTTAGTTCTAAAACCTGGATAATTAACAGAACTGTATCCAGTTTGTCATGTGGCTTAGAGTTTGGTTTGATTTGTTTTGTTCCTTAAAAAGTACAATCCTTTGATTCAAGCACTAAATTTTACTAGAACACAAGATCGTGAAGAAGGTATATAAGTTGGTAATGAGTTGCTTGGTACTACCCATATATCATGGAATTGCTGTGCTTTTGAATTATTCTTAGATGATCTCTATTGGGAAATTTGAACTTTGCTTTCTTGTTTGGTTTCTGTTAATTTATGGTTATAGATGTTTGAGTAAATGAAATATGTGTCCTGATGTGCAGTGGCTTTTGTTGTGTGGTTTTGTTATATTATGTGATATAAGCTTAGTAATCATTATTTATATATTATATATCTACTATTTTAACAACCATTTTTTACAAAGATTTATCATCCTGTTCAACAGGTTGATGATGCTGGCGCTGAAGAGAAAGCTGACACTGACAATAATATGGCTGTGATGTTTGGAATTTTAAGGAGAGGGAGACAAGTGAAACTTGAAAGTTTGATCTTGAATAGAAGTTCGTTTGCTCAGACTGTTGAGAATTTATTTGCCCTTTCGTTCTTAGTCAAAGATGGGAGAGCTGAAATAGTGGTGGGTGAAGCTGGTTCTCATTTTGTTTGTAAGTTTATTTCAAGATAATTAAGTTGTAACTTAACAGACAGTTCACTTAGCATTATACCTCGATAAGCTTTTGTCTCATTTACTGTTTTCTTTCAGCACCTAAAAATGCCCCTGCTGCTTCATCCGTAACAAGTGGTGAGGCTGGTTACAGCCATTTTGTGTTCAGGTTCGATTATAAGGACTGGAAGGTATGGAATGTGCTGTCATTGAACATAATCCAGATATTGCAAGTATTACCGACTACTATGTTCAGTGCTTTTTCTTTATCAGTATGCCAAACTATCTTAGTTCCTCACCTGTTAGAATAAATTATTAGTCTACTATAGTGTTTTTAGGTTAATTTCTTTCCTTTAAGCTTCAGTTTTTAAATGAACTGGCTTTCAGTTATTGATGAATGTGGTACTTGTTGGTGAGGAGCTAATGCCACATAGGGAAGGTTATGGAGAATAGTTTGTAGGTGTCTTTGATGTTCTTTATAATTAAATTGTGAAGTATTCATGTCGATCAAACTCTAACCAGTTGTCTGTTTTAACAAAAATATATATATTTTCCAGCACGGTTAACACTAATTTGTTTGACCTTCTAATTTGAAATTTTGAATGAATGGGGTTTTAGGTAATGATGAAAATGGTGCCACTTGGAGAGGAGTTGATGCCTCACAGAGAAGTTTCACACTCAATTCTTTCCGAGGCAGAACCAGCAACAAACAATTCGGGAACATCAACGACACCAATCCGAAAATTATCTAGGAACCGAGGGTTGATTTTGCAAGAATCCATCATAGACGACTCACCTGAAATTGATGCTAGCAAAGGCCCTGGCATTCGTAGGTGCAGGCGTAAGCACAATTGACCAACTGGCTTTTCTTTTGAGAACACATCATGTACGATTGTTTCGAATGTTGTGATGTACATACATAGCTGTAGCTCATTCCTCTGCCATGAGAGCCTGAGACAACTTTCTTTGACCTATTTACTAACTGGAGGCAGAATCACTTTTGGATTCTAGATATGTGAATGGATCTCCCTGATTATGCTAATTTTGGAGTGGACAAACTAGGGTTTAGAGTTCAAGTTATTTGATTAATGTAATTCACCATACATTTGAGTTGTCTGCTTATGTCACCTTGAGTATTATCTTGCCTTCAATCTTTTGAAAATTTCAACTAATGTTACTTGATGTACAAGAATGGCACTTTGGGTGAACTCGACATTGTTGTTAAATGTGCTTTCCAAATCCAAAACAATTATTAATAAATGAATAATTTAAATACTGTATATTAAATATTATTCAAATAAAATAATTATTTATTAATCATTTGAAACGTTTTTTTTCCGAACTATTTTATTTTTTTCCATTGAAATGCATTATTAGTATTTTCCATGAAGTATTTTTGTCTACTTTCATTTGTTTTTTTTTTAATTTTATATTATAAATTGACATTCACATTGATAGTCAATAATTTCTTGAGTGAAATATTATCTCAAATGAACTTTTATTTATAAAAATTTTAATAAAATGAACTATTAAAACTTGAATATAAAATATATATTCAATTTTAAAAGTTAGTTAACGTAAATTTTTAAATAAAAAATTCAATCAAAAAAGTATTTTACATAAAAAAATTATTTAATTAATACCTAATTTATTATATATATATATATATATATTTATATTTAACTTGAAGGTATTGTTTTTGAGTTTTTCTCTTTTCTTTTCTGAGGAATGTTGCGAAGTAACGCTATTAGTCGTAGTACGTGAGGAGTCACGTGATCATCAACACTACTAGTATTCTTTCCGTCATTTAGGATTTAAAAATCATAATTTTTCATAACATCATTCAGAGCCATTTCATCATCAAACTTCATTAACATCTTTTAAACCTAGTTTCTTTTCGACCCTTTTCGTTACCTCTCACCCGCGCTTTTTCATCTTCTCCCAACCCTAGCTTCCTATTTTCTCCCACTTTCCCTTTCTTCCTCTTAGATCTCGTTGCTCTCCGAATGGACTTTGGTGGTGGACGCAAGAGAGTGAGGCCCGAGGCTTCCTTGAACGGCAATGGCGGCTTCAAGAAATCCAAGCAAGGTGCGAATTTTCTGCTACTCATATGTCTATCTTGTTTATGTACATGCTTATACGACTGTTTGTGCTATATTTGTGGTAAAATGGTGATTTCTAGGGTTTGGAGAACTTTCCTTTTGTTTTTTGCTTCCCCCTTCCCCTTCTTCGTTTGTAATCTCTCTTCACTTTATTTATTGAGGTACCGAGAAAGTAGCAAGCTTCAAAATTGTGTAATTTAGGTGTTTGATAACTTGGAAAATACTAAAAAAGATTTGAATATTAGATATACTTTTGGTGACAAAAAAATTCTCCAAATGAATAAGTATAAAAATAAATTGAATGATTTATGCTCTAGTTTAATTTAACTATGTAAACTTAATGAAAGCGTAAAAAAGAAGCTTCATGAAAACAAAGGTAAAAAAGGACATTTGAGTTCAGATTTTGCTTATTTATGTCACATTCGATCACATACATACAATTGTCGGGTTTTAAAACAATAAAACCCTAACAAGCAGCTTTATGCTTGCTGGGTGGAGTTTTAGAAATCAGCGTAAAAGTATTCAGTTAGCAAATTATCCGGCATTTAGTAGAAGTTTAAACGCTACTTTGGATGATGCAATTATCTATTTCTTTGAACATGGAATTTAATTACTCCACAAATGGCTTGTTGGTTGTCACATCCGTTTAACAACATTTGCTGTAGACATTTTGAATTCTTTTCCAATTTGTAGGGTATTATCCACCCCCTGTGTGTTATCTCACTTATGTTTGGATTTCCTGAGCTTAAACAGTAGTGAGTTGGCATGTGATTGCTCTTGTGCTTTATTGATGATAATTTGTATTGTTTCATTGTTTGCATAGCTGGGTTTATATTGGCGATGGTCATGAATGTTTATTCTCCATCTCTTGTTGCTTTTATCATTGTGTTATTTGGGTAAAAAATTGAATGCATTGTCAGGTACACCGATCCTTAGTTTATTATGGTTAAGCTTTTCTTACGTGATTTCAGTGGGCTTACTTTGTTTGTGAATCCAGTATTATACTTGTATTCATTGTATTGTTGCAATTTTATAGTCTTGATTTCTCACGTGTCTTTGTATTTGAAAATTTGGCATGGTAAATTCCTTTATAAGTTTTTGGTATTGATGTATGAAGTGAAGAGATATTTGCCTTGATCTGATTTTTCAACAGAATCATTTGGGGTGGGTGGGGGTGGGTAGGAGAACTCTGTTTTCTTTTAATCATCTAAAACTTAGTTCTTTGGGGAAGTTGGAAGCAGAACTTACTTTCAAAGTAAGTTGAGCTGTATTTTTTCCGGGGAACAAAAAATGTCAGCCCACTATTCAATTTATTAGTAAGCTTGATGGCTGTATTCTTTAAAAATGATCTAAACCAGTTATTCATATTTAATAAAGCACATATTTTCTTTTATAGTGCTGATAAGAAATGGTAACAGGGTATCGAATACTTTGTAAAGTTCAAATTTAAAAAATCAATTACTCTCTGAAATTGTAACTGAGATAAATTAATTAATGTTTTGCAACAGAAATGGAGTCCTTTCCAACTGGTATAGGAAGCAAATCAAAGCCATGCACAAAGTTTTTCAGGTTCAAATCTTAACCTATCCAAAATAAATAGCCTAATGCACTTCCATCATTTTCTAATTTTTATAAGTGGTGAGGAAACTTTTCCTATGACGGCAACCTTCTCATGTAAACTATATGTGATTACAACTTATTAATTGGTCACTTAAAGTGATAATTATACAGGTAACGCTCTTGGCTCTAATAATGATAAGAAAGACCATGGGATAAAAATGGTTGGTTGGTTTCTTGGTGAATTTTTGGACTAACTATATACTGGGTTATATGTAAACAGAAAGCAACCATACAGGATTCAGAACTTTTTTATCTTACATTGTACTTCTATATACCAGCAATTTTGGTACAGGGTGATCTATTTTTGTTTCTTTTGGGTAACATGTAATTGCACTTTGTCAAATTATGATTCCCATCTCTTAGATTTTTGTTTTTCTCCTGTAAATAAATAAATTCACCAATTCCTGGTCAAGGTGGGTCTTTTTTTTAAAAAAAAATTCATGTCTTTTATCGATTATAGAGTCTTCTCAAATCTCTCATTTATCCTCTGTAAAATCTTCTTGGTCTTCTCTCCTTTACTCTTCAATACACACATCAATATCATTTACATATTGTAGGCTCACAAGAATTTTAGAAGTCATAGATACGAACGGCAATGTTTTAAGAGAAACTAATGGAACAAGCTGGGTTCTCTACATAAAAAAATTGATACTATGTGGAAGTATTTACTTGGTTTTGTGTGCATTTATTTTTTTTTCTGTGAATAAATTTTTATGTTTTTCTTGGGGTTACAGAGAGAATGCCTATTTAAGAGTTTTCTAGGCTCCTAGTATGCTTTGGGTGAAATTGACACATTTTTATTGCATGAATATGCTTTAAAAATGAAATTTAATAGTAGGGTTCAGAATTGCTGATGCTTGGTTCTGAACAATAATAAAAGGTTGTGTCATGTTCTTGGTGCTTGTTATTCAATATAGTAATGCAGATGATTGTTGTTATGATTCCTGTTGTTACTTGTAAGTAACACTTATTTCATGGTATTGCACAGCTGGTGTACGTATGAAGAGCTTCGATGAATTTATAATTTTATCTCATAGACTGAACTAGTACTTGAATTATAGCACTAGCAGAGCAGTATTTCCTTGATATTAGCTTGACATTCTTGAGTTCTGTTTATTTCACAGCACTTCTGGGTGCCAATTTGGTGAGAGCTGTCACTTCTTGCATTATGTTCCGGGTGGCATCAAAGCAGTGTCTCAGATGCTTGGTAACAACCCGGCTCTTCCTGCAGCTGCCAGAAATGCAGTAGCCCCACCATCCTTCCCTAATGGCGCATCTCCTCCAGCTATAAAGACCCGTTTGTGCAGCAAATTCAGCACTCCTGAAGGTTGCAAGTTTGGCGATAAATGCCATTTTGCTCATGGTGAGTGGGAGCTTGGCAAGCGGACTGGTCCTACTTACGAGGATCCCCGTTCCATGGGAGGTATGCCTGGAAGGATGGCTAGCAGAATGGAGCCTCCCTCACCAGGTTTTGGTGCTGCAGTCAGTTTCGGAGCATCTGCCACTGCCAAGATCAGCATTGACGCATCTCTTGCTGGAGCTATTATCGGGAAAAATGGTGTGAACTCAAAGCATATATGTCGGGTTACAGGAGCCAAGCTTTCTATAAGGGACAACGAGTCGGATCCTAGTTCAAGGAACATTGAGCTGGAGGGAACATTTGATCAGATCAAGCAAGCCAGTGCAATGGTTCACGAACTGATTTTAAATGTCGGTTCGGCCTCTGGAAGCAGCATGAGGAACACTGCTAGGAGTGGGTCCGGCTCGGGGAACAACTTTAAGACTAAGCTTTGCGAGAACTTCTCTAAAGGATCCTGCACTTTTGGTGAGAGGTGCCACTTTGCTCATGGAACCGAAGAATTGCGCAATACGGGAATGTAAATTCCTCAATAATATTGTATTGGGTAAGAACTCTTGCTTTAGCCTTTGGGTTATTTCGGTGTAGTTTAATGTGTTTTGTATTATTCCCCCCCCCCCCCCCCCGGATGGGAATGTAGCTTGGATTGCAATAAATTTCTTATATTTAATTATAATGATTTTCTGTATGAATGTATGGGATGGGCTCTGGAGATGCCCTAGCTATTATGATTTTTTAACCTTTTTTCTTGGCTTGATTAATTTTATCAAAAAGATCTCTTATGTAGTGTAAGGACTTTTGACATGGTACACATATAAAAGTCATAACGTGAAATAAGACTGCATATAGGTTGGAGATTGATTTTACAACTAAAATATGGCGAACTACATAGGAAGAGATTTACTTATATAATATTAAACTAAAAGCTTTATATTAAGATTTTTGGATTACAATGAATTGAGGGTTGAGATTAAATCATTTTTTTTAGTTATGAAAATTTCTTTTCATGAAATATCTGTTTATTTCTCATCATTAATGATCTTTATGCCTATTTGTCTTAATATGACAAGCAATGAACACGTTTTTTTAATAATTTTTTATGCTTAAAATTATTCTATATATTTTGCAGGAATCAAACACATGTAATTGGAGTTAAATATATCGATAACTATTAGCGTCTTCAAATAATATTGTCGGTTGTTGTTAACGACTCTGATATTCTACCATTACAGCATGAGTGTACCTTTAATTTATTCAATCACAAGATGATTTTATTAAAGTCGTCAACATCTAAAGACAACTTTGGTAATTACTATAAAAAATATATCTAATTTTATTGAATAGATTTCTTAAAACTCTATTTCTTAAAAAATATACAACATGGGATATTGTTTTGTTAAGTGCTATGACTATTAAAAGTTAAAAAATGGTTCATGAAGTTGTTTTGTTGAGTCTCTCGACTATTAAAAGTTATAAAATGATTACACGACTATTCATTATGTTTCAAACACGTCCGTTCCCGTTCAAAAATTAATGGCAATGTGAGCTGGATGTTAACATGTTGATTGAGACATGATAAAATTTGATCTCATAATCTCAAACGAAGATATTGATAACTATTAACATACTAACATCCAACTCAAATGATAGTTAATTTTTTAACGGAAAATGACAAGTTTGGAATATAATAAATAGTGGAGTGATTATTTTCTAACATTTAATAGTCAATGACTCAACAAAACAACTCCCTATAGTCGGAGACTATTTTATAATTTTTTAATAAAACAATATCATATAATTTAGAGAGCGTTTGTGAACTTACCCTACATTATTTTCACTATTCTAAATCTCTAACCAATAACTATATTTAAAAAAATATACTAAATTCCCTCAAGTGTTTATATTTGATGATATTTTTATATCTTTTTATCTTATAACTTATGATAAAAGGAAATCCTTCAATTCATTCGCTAGGAAGGGAATTATGAAATAAACATTAAAATAGATGATAAGTTGTTCAAGGAAGTTCAAAAAACCATTAACACAATTTTCAGGTTCAAATATGTTAAAAATGTTATATATTATTTTAAAATTTAATTTTATAGAATTGTTGAATCTTTATATTATTTTTGTTTGGAAATTTTGACATTTTTCTTAATTTATGTTCAATTTTATATGATTTAATAACTAAAAAATAAAATTATCTTTTTATTTTTTACTTTTAAATTATTTTATCAAATTAACATCTATTCTATAAAACTAATAAAAAAAAACAAATTACCTTATTACAAACGAGAATAAAATTGCTAGCATATTAATATCTCAAGAAAATGTTTTCATACTATTGAAATAAAGAGAAAAAGCAGATTGCAAAATAAAAATGGAAATATTAATATTAATATTCTTGTCTCATTTATTCATTAGAATTGGACCGTCGGCCTCGGCATCACTTATGATAACCGAAGATTTTTTAGATAATAATAACTTCTATTATTACTACTAAATCTGATGACTATTAAACTAATTTAATGAAATCCGTTTGAAGAAATATTTTATTACCAATCAAAACCTTTTAATATACTCCCAGGGTTTTGTCTAAACCAGGGTTTTGTCTAAACCAGGGTTTGTCTAATTTCATATAATGATATGTAAATGAAAGTAATATACGTGTGCAAACGTACCTTGGGGCCGAGAGGTCCTTTGCGCCACGTAGGAGTATCGTTGGTTTTGCAGTTGTAGCTAGTGCATCTCTTGTTAGGGTCATTGTAGTTGCCAACGCGGAAATGCCCTGTAATATCTCAATATCGGGTTAGTGATCAAATTGTAAAATTTCAGAATTTGGTGAATAAAGTAGAATAGTTGAATAGTTCAATGATTTATTTGGAAATATTTTCTCAAAGTTGTTAATGATTATCAAAGGAATTAAAGGGCAAAATGGTCTTTTTATCTAAAAGATAATTATCTTATCTCTTTATTAAGAGATAAGTATGTGGGGAGAGTTATCTGGAAAACTCTTCTCCCTTCTTCTTCCTTCTCCCCGTGAAAGTTAGGCAAATGTAAGATTTCTTTGTTGTTGATTATTAGCTAAAATTTAAGTTGGATTTTGATCATTAGATGATAACTAAGCTTAAGAAAAGCTTAAGTTATCTTAAAAACAAAAGATGAAGAAGTTATGAGAGATTAAAGAGAAGAAGTTTTTAGATGAATTTCTGGAAAAGAGTTGATAAGTTGAATTTGAGATCAAATTTGACTTGTCATCAACTTAATTAAGGAATATGAGGTGTTAGAATTGGATTTAAAACATGTTAAAAATCTGGTATGATTCTTGAAGTTAATAAAGAGGATTGGATATTAAGGTTAAAGACGAGATAAATGAATATAAATGAGTTTAAGCATGTATATTTAAGTTAAGAATATGAAAGGGGATGAAATATGAAACATTTGAGTTGAATTAAGTGGATTTTCGGGCTTAAAAAATAATTTATGGGCAAGATGCATCGGTACACGTTCAATATGTACTGATGCACTCTTAAAAGAAGAAACATCGAATGCCATAAGTATATCGATGCACCCCTTAAGATGAAAACATCGAATGTAATTTGTGTACTGATGCACCAGTGAAGGGATGCATCGATACACTATAGAATGTACCGATGCATACGTTAAACAAGAAATGAAAGTAACATTTCCTTTAGTTTAAGAAAGGAAAGATAAGAGTATATCAATTGGAATATTGATATGGATATATGTATTGTTATGTAGATATAGAACGTAATCCCGTTCCGGAACAATCAAAGAATTAGGATCGAATCAAAGCAAGACTAAGGTGAGTGCAAATTTAATTTGTACTTATATTATCGAATAAACATTGGCTTACGATGAGCTAGTGACGGAGTTACTATGGTAAGAAGTGACTCCGAAAATGTTATTTGATTTACAATGCATGCATAAGTTATATGTGTTTACTTGATTCAATAAAGGATACATGATTTATATGTATGAATGAGTATATGTGTTAACATGTTATTATGTATGTTATATGATTTGTATAAGTATATGTTAGAGTGATAAGTCATGTGAAACAATACAAATGATTTATATGATGGTATAAGAATATGAAATAAGTTATGTGATAAAGGCATAAGGAATGAAATGAACATGTGAATATAAGATTACCAAGTATAATTTATACTAAATGGTATAAGTGAGTACACGAGAAAGGTTATGAAATTTTATGAGAACAATATTTAAGTTAGGAGACATAGACATAAATGATTATATGAATATGTAAGATAAGTTATATGGTAAAATTTATGTGCTTAAATGAAAATACGATATGAGGTAGATAGTAAATATCTATGAAGACATATGAGAAAAATTATAGGAGCTATGTGGAACTAAACTAAGAAAATGGATTATATATATATATATGAAAGAAATAATAGAAGTGATATGTGTTTATAAGTATGACATAAGTTACATTATTTAGGTGAATATAAGAGAAGAAAGCATAAGTTATATAAAATTATATGAGTTAGTATATACCTATATGATATATGTTATTAAATATGATATATTTGATTATGAGAAGAAGCTTATAAATCATGTGAATGCAAGTTTATAAAATAATATATATGTCAATGATAACTCATAAGAATAAGGTATGAATCAAGTGATATGAGTTATACGGGAAATATATGTGAACGCGATATGATATATATATGTTTATGTGAAACCATGCAAAGTGATACGAGCTATGTGACATATGAATATGAAGTCATATGAAAAGTGACATGAATTACATGAAAGTAAACTACGTGATTATATACACATGTGATATGTGACAGAAGAGAAGAAATATGTGATCATAAGAGCAATGATATGAGTACATGAATATATGAAGCATATGAAAAAAATGCCCATGTTATATGATACGAGAGCTATAGGTATAGTTGGCATGCCAAGAGTCAAGGGTCTACGCAGTCTTTTAGGACATATACTGTAACACCCCCAACCCGTATCCGACCCGGATACAAATCCGAGGTGTCACATTGACTAGTCAAAGCACATACTTCTATAAAAACCATAGAAAATTTAAAACTTCTATTCTATAAAGAAATTATTTTACAAAAACATGTTAAAACCTTAACATACTCCATCAGAGCGTACATATTTAATGACTTTGTTTACATGCCAACATACTAATTTACATAATAGAACATACTTTACAAGATATTTCTGATCTGATCTTCGAGTGATGATATACTGTTCTGCTGAAGCAAATCTTGATCATTTTTCTTACCAAAACCTACGCGTAAGACACTTACACGCTAAGTCATAGACTTAGTGAGACATGTAAATGCACAATATAAACTAACAAATGTATGCATATATCGTATAATACACATCCTATTTACATACCTATTGAACCAATCATTAATATATTTATCATTACTTATTTCCTTTTCATTAATTCTATTCTATCATATGAGCATATATTTGACATAAACATATAATATAACTCTAAAACACAATAATACATGAATAAATATTAATTTCATATCATACAAAATCACATATCATCTCTTATCACAAAACACATATGCACTCATTATCATTATATTCTTTTCTATTATCATATGATTATGAGCTTATCATTCATACATGTCATATAGC